GCTGTATCAATTGATCGTGTATTTGCTTTAACTCGTGGTATACGAAAAACTCGTAAAATACGTTTAACTTATTTTATGTTAGGAATCATATTTCTTACACTTTTTCTTCTTAATATACAATTTTTGTTCTATGATAATAATTATAAATTTTCACAAAAAATAAATAATAGTTCAACAAACAATATTGTATATCGAATTGTTGATACCGATATGGATATTAATGTTGTTCAATGTTCATCAGAATATAGTGATAAATATAAAGAATTTTATGAAAACATTTGGGTTTATGTTGATGCTATAGTTAATGTTTATTTACCATTTACCCTAATGTTTCTATGTTCAACACTTATATTTATCAATGTTCTACGAACAATGAGTAATGCAAATAACTCAAATAAACGTTTAGTTGCAAGAAGTTTAAGTATAATGCTTCTATCAATTAACACAATGTTTGTTTTATTAACTGGTCCTATTGTTTTATATTTAATGTTTGAGAAAAGAACATTTTCTTCTGCAACTTATCAATGTAATACTAAAGTTAAAGCTAAAAATAAAATGATTAAATTACTATTTATTATTCTAATGAATGCTAATCATACAGGTAATATACTCGTTTATTGTTTAACTGGTACAGAATTTCGTACACAATTATTTTATGTTCTCGGTAAACATAACCAATATCAACAAACAAATTCTTCAAAACAAGGAACCCTAACTTTAAATAAAGATAGTGTATCTCAAACATCAAGTCGAAAACAATATTATTGTACTTTAACAACAAGAACAAGACTTATAAAAGTAAAAAAAAACACAATTCGAACTTAAGTTTTTAAATTATACTTTATTTATAGATGGACGAAAATATTTTTGATGATGATCAATTAGTACAGAGATGTTTATCACGAGATGATAAAAATAATATTATTTTAAAAACCAAACAACAAATACAATCAAAAACTGCTGCAAATGTTTAATTAATATATATATATAGATATGCGTATACTGGTTTAAACAGGGATATATTCATAGTATTATCTTCCTTTTATGTTTAAAATATGAGCAAGAAAATAACGATCTCAAGCTGAGTAATGAACATGTGTTCAGCCTCGCATATGAGACTTATTATTAGTCTGCTGTTTTCTTTCCATGCATTGCTTTTCTATTACTATTATTCTTGTTCATTTGGTGTAATACCTGCATGTGTCTAGAAATTATTTTTTATGTGAACAATTGAATGAATGTATTGAATACAATAATAAATCATTAACGATATTTTTAATCTCAAAATGAATTTATAAATCTAGAGTAAAAACCTAGCCGGAAAAAATTTTATTAATAAACTTATCTCGATACTAAAACAAAAGCGATAATATATTTTTGTTTTCTAGATCAGTTTAATGTTAGTTTATATATTTTAATGAACTAAGAATATTTCAACTATGATAAATAAGACAAATTAACCAATAGCCTTAATATGTTTTGTGTACTACAAAAAAATTATTCCTCTAGGCTAAAATTAGCAAACACAACAGATAAATCATATTTAACTCTATTACTGAAATTATGCAGCTCATTTTTCTAAGTTGATTCATTCTTCTATTTTTTATGATTTAGGAATAAAAAAAGAAAGTTTCTATACAAAAATATCATTCATTTTGAAACGACTTTATTATAACTGAACACATCATATAAACTCTGTAGTCCATTGAAGAACATAGTTTATTTTGCTTTAAAATTGATGTATCTACAGTCCGACTAGTATCTTATTTTTATTTTCAGTTTGATGTTAATTATTTGCTTGCGATTCTTTTTTTAAAATTTATACATCTTACTCTAGCTATTGAAACATTATTATTACAGCATGTCATTGATAATAATTAACGATACTTCTTTCCCTGTCTGAACATGAAAATCAACATTTTATTAATACTTTGTTTTTATTTGATGTATATACACTTTGAAGTATTCTCTCTAGATCTGCAAAAAACACAAACTGCTTTTGACAACGTTTTGGCCTAGAAAAGAACCATCTTCGTGACCTCTCATTTCTAAAAAAAACTCGACTTTTTACGCTTTTTTCTTTTCAAAATATTCTCTCTTTGTCTTTAATCTGCTTGTAGCTATCTTATTTTTAGCATAAGATTATATTAAGATCGCCTGAGACATTGTTTCACTTAAATTTGAGATAGCTCATCCAGTTTATTCGACATACAATCAATATGACGAGATCGAAAATTTTTAACTTAAGACTTATTTTTAGTAGTATTGGTTGTTTTTTTATATTTGTGGCAATTCTTAACTATTGGTCGAGAATCTTCCGAATGGTTTACTCTTAGTTACTAATTCATTCGATGACAATGTCATTTCTTCTATTAGTAATAAACGAGAGGTATAATCAGCAAGAAGTATATTATTCACGCATGTTTGATTATAGATACCTTGCAGGCATAAAAAGAAGTACTCTCTGGATGTAGAAAACTATCTTATCAAATGTGCAATAGTAGAAAACTTAGAAAAGTCATAAATAGAAAAGAAAGAAGATGAATATTTAGGAGAAAGTCAATATTGAATTGTATTTAGCGTCTTTTTTAGATCATATTTTATACAAAACAAGTGTTGTTTCGCTCCATTTCTTCGACACGCTGAAAGGCATCGACCTGAAACTGTGCTCACATACATTAGTTACTATTTGACGCAGGTTGCTATTTTTAACTTCAACAACTATTACTCTAGTGTTTTTTGGCAGCTTCAACAAAATTTCTCCTTGTAAAAAAGAAATAAACAAGCTTGTTTTAGAATGTGCCTTGTATTTTGACATTTCTATTGAGAGGTCAAACAATAGAAGGAAACAAAAAGAATATATTCATCTCAAATAGTGTCCAGTATGTGTAGAAAAAACTTTTGACTCAATTGAACCTATTATCTTGGGGAAATGAAAATGAATAGAGGGGTCATTTTGACCTATCATGAACCGAATACCTCTTACTAGGCAGCATTTCGAAACATTGAGTCTAGTACAAATTTTTGCTCTATTCTTCAAGATTTATTTGCCCTGAAAGTTTCAAACTTTTTTTTTGATAAGTTGTTCTCCAGAAAACTCCCGAAAGAAGTGGAGTACTCTTGAAATAACGAATCAAGGTATTACAACTAACATTTAATAATTCAACGAGAAACTAAAATTAGTTCGAACAGATGTTGAAACGCCGAAAAATAAAACAATTGAATAACGAACATTTTCAATTGATTCATTGCTTTCAAACAAAAAGTTAATGGATTTTAAGTTATCGACCATGCTGATTTTGAATATGACAACGAGAAATCTTCTTAGGTCATCAGATGCAGATTATAAAGTATATTGAATTGTCGAGAAAAAAGGTAACTTTGTTTCTTTTGAATCGTGCTTTTTTTTGCAGAAAATACATCCATTTTAATTATTATAAAAGATTCACTGTGAAAATCTTTAAGATGATGTCATTTTACTTAAAATTCATTTTTGAAAAACAGACAAGATTATTATCTTATAGACAACTTGGTATGCTTTATAATCTTAGTAGATCCAGAACAACTTTGGAAAAATGTTTGTTAGTATAAAGAACTAGCATATGACGACCTAAGAAGATTTTTTATTATCGGAGTTAGCATGGTCGGTAGTCTACAATCTAGTAGTTTTTGATGAGAAAGCGATTGGTCAGTTGAAAATATTCCTTCGGGGGATTAAAATCAGAATACAAATGTATTCGATCTAAAGATATGTAGAACGTCCTTTGGTTCCGATAGTCGGAACCAGAGGAAAGAGAAATGGTCAAAATCGGAACTACAAGAAAAAAAAGTTGTCCTACTCGGAATTGAACATTATAGTTTAGTATCTTATTATTTTACTCAAACTATCTTATAAGTCATAGCATAATTCACGAGAGACGACCAAAAAAAAGGAACTAATCGTCGACTAAATACATAAGAAAAACGAGTATTGAAGAACTTTATTCAATGTAGTATGATTAAGTTCTGAAATATTTTTCTCCAGATAGGATTCCAAAAAGTTATAATCACAAGAACCAGATTAGATCTGTCGAGGTGATGGCTAGGAACATTTAAAAAGAAGTAGCGGGACAACAAGAAAAATGTTATTAGAACCGCTACAAAAGAAACTACCGCAACTGGAAACACTAAAACAGAAATTACTGGAATGATTAAAAAAAGAAGTTATCGACAATACGATTAAAAAAACTTTATCCTACGCATTTCTACTTCGGTACTACAGCTTTAATTATCATTGAAAGAGAACATAACGAGTAATATGTTTATCTCTACAAAAAAGACAAAGCATTAAATAGTTCTCAAATAATTTCAGAACTTCGTGGGTAAACGTATCAAATACCATTGTTGTATAAAATTAAAAAATCTTTATCGTTTCGAAAAAATTATAAATAAAATTAAATTAAAGATTACGAAAGAATTTCAACCAACACCATAGGAAGGAAATATTTCTTAAAAAAAAAAGAGAGACATTTGTGTAAATCAACTTTTATTGAAACAAATATAGCATTTACGAGACAATACAAGAGATGACTAAAGACACATATAATATATCATTCAATAGATTACTATAATACAATAACAAAAAGAAAAGAAGACAGTTAGATCGCGAAAGACCTGAACATAAACATTCAAAAACAAAAATTTTTAATACAATAAATTCTGGTAGATATACCTGAGGAACGTCAAACACACAAACCGGTTAGTGTTCTTATTGAAGACTTTATTTTAATAATCAAGAATAAAAATGAAGATTAAGTACTTGATTTGTTTTTTGTTTCTTTTACAATATTCACACTTTTGAGATACAAAAAAAGAAGAAAACTGTTTGAGAAACCGGATTTAATTAAACATCAATAATAAGCAAAAAAATAAAACATATATATATATATACATGAGATAATACTTATAATTATTGCACGTTGATACAAACAACATCAGCAACAAAAAAAAAAATTTTGCTTTCAATTATCAATATTTATTGTTGCCAATGATTTTTTTTCTTCATTTAATATGTCTTTCAATACAACTATGAGACGTTCAAGTCCAAATAAATAACCTTTATCAGGACCAATATGATTATTTGATGCTGATGTTTCATCAGTCATTGGAGCATATATTGAATGGGCAAAATCAATCATGCGTACATCAATAAGGTTTGATTGTGGTAAACCATCATAAACAATTAAAAGACTTCCACTATAAAAACGATATTTTGCTAAGGAACTTATTGTTTCATATAATGATTCAAGTCTTTCAATTATTCCAGGTAAAACATCAAGACGTTTTGTTCGACCATTATCAAAAAATTGTACTAATGCTGAACGAAAACCATCAATAGTTAATATTCGACCTCGATATTTATCTGTAAACATATATCGACCACTATCAACTTGATAAACCTATGCAGAGTAAATGTTGACAAGTTTTTTTGATTGTTTGATCAAAAACTAAATAAAACAATTTACCTGCATGCCACATAAACGTACACCTAATGTTGATGACGTTGATGTTTCACATTTTTGAATTTTTGATTGACGTTTTTTATCAGAATCAATATCAGCATATTGTCTTATACCCATTTTTAAATCGAGTATACATGGATAACGAAATCGAGCTGTAACATTTTCTAGTAGAATATATTCTAAACAAACAAAATTTTTATACTAAAAACTATTTTCACTTAAAATAAGATTTAAAGAATGGATGAAAATATTCAAAATCACATGATTAGATTTTTTCATATTTCTCGAGATGAATATCACAAACTTTTATCCGAATATTTTGTTTAATTTTCAGAAATCAAGCCTTCATTATTATTTATTGATTGAATAAAATATTAGATACAATCATCAGAATTTGTTATGCTTTCCTGCCTAATGTTATAAAATAAGTGTGTAACGAAATCAGTTTAGTCGTCTATCAAAAAAGATTTGACGAAGGAATCTCACTAAGTGATCCAGTGCTCTTTAGATGAGATTTGTCGCATTCGATACGCTATATTGAAACCAGACAATATTTAGAAAGACTCATGTCCATAGTTGTTATCCTTTTTTGTTGTTTATCTCCTACAATTGTTATCTAATATGTGAGTATCTGATTGAATTCACACTTTTTTGCGTAGTTATTGTTAAGAGTTAAACAGTAGAAAAAGTGGCAACTATGCTCGTGTAGATGAGTTTTTCTTCATTAGTTATAATTATTTTACAAAGTCTTTCATCAAACTGTCGTGCTTTCCCTAAGATCACTTTCAAAATCGATTCTGAAGCTTCAAGTTTAAACTTAACATCAATGCAATTCTCAATTAGACTTCTTAAAATTTTTAATATTTTCTATATTTAGATACCAATATTGAAGATTTCGTTATGAAACAAATTAAATGTTGTCCTTTATATTTAAATCTCATGATTGAAGATATTAGAAAATCTAACACTTTCCTCCCATTGAGAACTTTATTTGTATAAAGTTTAAACTTAAAACTCAAAAAGCAGGAATGCTCATGGTGGTTGAGAACCTAATGTTACTGACATAGTATTCGAAAAATTTTTTTCGATTTTCAATTCTATGAATACACTGAGCTAGAATTGTTGTTACTAATCCTTGAATAAGAAAACTGTTACGATAGACATCTTTGCTCGATACAGTTGATCCTGAAGGCGAGCAGAATTGTCTAAAATGTCCCTAGTCTAAGAAAAACGACCTTTTGATAAGAATATTTGTAGACAGTCTCTAGTTTCAATAGAACTTATTAAATGAGATAAGGCTTATCTTAAAAACAGTTTATTCATTGAAATATTCCCCTGTGAGAAAATTTTGAATTGAAAACACATGCATTTACTGTAGGGATTTTTTTTCTAATTTGAGAAAACTTACTTTGTGGAACAGTAACATTTTCATCGCCAATTAATTGTCGATGTATTTTTTCAGCTTGCTTTTTACATAATTGTAAACTCCAAGGATTTATTTTTGACATAATTATTTTTCCTTGTTCGTAATTAACAACATCAGTACCTAAACTATTTGAATAATCAATACATCCATCTTCCGAACAACGTAATCTATTAAATAAAATAAAATATTTTTTAATTCTGATTACAAGAAAAAAAAAACAACAAAGATTTTCTAATACTAACTCTACTGATTTTTTTGAATTATTATCCGTTGATTGTTGATCAGTTGTTGCTGAAGTATCATCTTCATTTAATGAATGATCATCATCTGTACAAGCTGTTTGTGGATATGCAACAAGTTTAATAAAACCTAATTTATCTTCACAATATTGTACTGTTATAGTGCCTAAAATAATTATGAATATAATCAATAATCAAAACATGAAAATGTATTTAAATAAATAATTATGTTACCTCGAAATTCTGGCGCAAATTTTTTCAATGATTCAGGCATTGATTGATAAAAATCTAATTCAGATAATTCAAGAACTTTACAAACAGTATTTTTATCATATTGAAACATTGATGAATGACCACCCACCTTAAAAGAAAAAAAAAAATTAAATTATATTAGATATCGAAAGTAAATTAAAAAGAAAAAAGAATATTCAATTAATTTATACTTGATGAAAAAACGGTGATAATTGAATGCATGATTTTTCATTATATTCACAAGCGTTCATTCGTACCATTGAATTAAATAGCAACAATAAAAAATAATTTCGTTGAATATAAATACATAAGCTAAAAAGGATTGATCTAAAATATACATTTATACATAGAATACAAATACCAAGAACATAAAATTGTGTATAAGTGAATGAATACAAAATTTTGTGTTAATAGTATCATTTTATATTTTATTCTTCTCCAAATAAAAAGCGAAATCTCATATGATCAAACTAAAAATAGATTTCCTATTCATAAAAACGATGATTAGTGTTTTATCTAGAAGAAAACATCATTTAATTATAGATGGACAAAGACAAAAATGTGACAAACGAAAATAACGAATGTGATTTTTTATTTTTCTTTTATACTGTCAGTAGGGAACAGATACTAACGTTATTTACTTATTGACTAAATGCACGACACACCTTCTTCTTCATCGTTTTTTTCTCATTCTAGACCTAAAATGTCGAAAATGATTTCGAAAGTATATATTGGAAAAAAAAAGGTCATAGTTATAAAATGAAAAAGAAAACGACACATGATATCATCTTATCAATCGAAGACATAATATAGAAAATGCCCATTTTATTAAAGATTTGAATAATATCACGTCAAAACAAATATGACATCACAGAGAAAATATTGATTTCATCGAATATCTAAAGAAAGTACTTGTTTTTTATTTTTTTTTCTGCGGTATTAGAGTCAGATGACATCACAAGTTTTTCTTCTTTATCATCCTCCAATCAATCTATTTTATATTAATAAATAAAAAAAACAGCAAGAAAGCAAGTTCTAATTTATGTGTCAAATATCAACCAATCAGATTTAACTAACGGAATCATAGAGGTTGACACTAAGCAATAATTATATCTTATGGCACTTCTTTTGAAAATTGATTTTTACTCATTTTAAATAATCATAATAATCATAAAATGCCATTGTATGAAGTATTTTCACATTCAGATCGTTATCATTATCGTGCAAATTTATTTTCATTAGCAACATGTTTTTTAATTCTTTGTACAATTTTAACATTTTTACCGCCATTTTTATTTGCTTATTATGCCAGTGGTTTTTGGATAAAAGAAGGAAGTTATAGTGAACAAGCACGTATTAATTATTCATCTAAATATATCGTTATTATTGATAATAATGATATAACAACAAATCGTTTTTTTACTTCATCTTATGCATCAATAAATACCATTTTTCGTGATGTTATGATTTTTGGTATAAATACATTTTCAACAAGTGATAATAATTATGATGGTGTTACAGATCAATTTTCTATTACATTTCAAGTAATAGTTGGTGGTAATAATACAGCTACTGTTATTAATAATATTAATATTTGGTTAATATTGGAATATGAATTACGAGCTCGACAATACATTAAAATGGAAACAATGGCATTGATTAATATTTTTCCACCAAATGATATTACTTTAGCAAATAATCCAAATGTAACTGTCGTAGGTGATTTAATACTTGAACAACGACAACCAATACAAAGTTCCGGTATTGATACATCATATAATAAATCCATTATTGATATAGATAATTTATTTACAACATCATCAAGTAATCTTAATCCTGTTTTGGATGAATATTTTACAAGAAAATATTATACAACATTTAGACCACAATATATTAAATGGAAATTTGGTGCCAATACGGGAACTAATATATTAACTATTAATGTTATTCTTAATGTTTCAAAACAATCTATAAGATTTATACCAGGTTTTTGGCAAGAATTTAAATGGGGTTGGATACAATATGTATGCGTACTTTTACCATTTATTATTGTTTTTCATCGAATTAAAGAATTTGTTTTTCGTAATCAACTTGTAAAAACATTAGTCGAATTACCTTATCATCGACATAAAGCTTAAATAAAAATTTTGTTTTTTTTTTGTTTTGTTTTGTTTTTGTTTTGTTTGCGTGTGTCTGCTAGATTTAAACGAGAGAATGAATATGAAATAAATTGATTAGGAAGATTACAAAAAACTTATCTTAATCATACAAGGAAAGGTGCTCAAATGTGTGTGTGTGTGTGTCTATTTTCAATCGACTTTCTGTCAATCTGTTGAGCATGATTGTATAAAGCCTTTTTACTCATACACATTTTTTTAAAGGGTGCCGTCGATCTTGACTTCAGAAAAATCACTGCTAGTTGTTATTTCGAAAATTTTCGTTTTTACGTTAGCTTAGTTCTCACTGTTCAAACCTTCAGCACTGAATGCGTCTGAGTTGAGTACACAATCAGCATAAATAGAAGTTCTAACTACGTCAATAGTTTGAATATTAGAATATCATTAATACGATGAATGTAAAGAATTCATCTATTTTTTCTAAATTCATCTAATTTCATTTATTTATTTATCTATATGGAATTTATATTCAAAATACATATTGATCATGTTTCAATAATCCACCTTATTTATTGTATCTTTGCATATAAACATGCGAGAAAACAACTAAAATAGCATGAAGATTATGAAACATGAGATACCTGATAAAACTTTAATTAATGCATTCGTAGAATGGTATTACATATCGCTTGTGTAGGTGCTTACAATGAACTAAGACGCATCCCGTATTAAAGTTTTGAATCCTAAGAACTAAACTTACGTAAACATTAAAATTTCTGCAATAATAGCTTATAATCATTTTTCTAAAGCTAAAATTGATCTGACTCCTCAAAAACAGCCTATGAGGAAAAATGCTTTATGTCATCGTACTTTACACACTGACATAAAGTCAATTAAAAAATGGAGACTCTTACACTTGATGATCCTCTTTCATGAATGAGGAAATTTATTCTATTTGACATGATAAAAGACTAATCCGTCATCAAGTCAAAGTATCGCACAAAGTTGTTTATTTATGCACGATCGGAACAAGCGAGATTACAAGGACTATTCATACGATCTTTGTCGTATGTAAACAAAAAAACGATCGACAGCTATATAGATAGACTAAGCATTGGATTGAGTTTTACTAACTTCGTATAACTCAACAGCTGTGTTGATATGATAGAAGTGAATTTGATCGTATGACTTAAAGTGAAGATTAGTCTTTGATATATATTCTCAGGCAATGTTGAGAATATAAAATATATATTTAGTAGTACTTATTAATTAGTCGATGCAGACAATATAAAAACTTTAGTTTGACAAAAATGAATCCTACTAATTCGTCATTTCAAATATGTGATATTCACGGATCGTTAGTTTATTTTAATAGAAAATTAATCAAACAAATGTTCTGATATCTTCAAATTCGCATTATTTATCGGTTAATAATATACATTGTTAAAAATGAGTTGATCAATGATTATAAATTGTATTTTCTGCCTCTTTATGTGTTATTCAATGAATTTTGTAATATATATAACTTGGTATTTTATAAAATGATTATGTGGATGAAAGTAGGAGATCTCTTTGACTTCGAGATCTATTTCATAAGATTGCTCAACCTTTTAGATCTTTTGTTATAATTTTCTCTTCTATTGAAATATATTATGATGAACAAAAATCAGACAAGTCTTACAGTATTTTTTAAATAAATAAGCTACCATTAGTTTTAAATATTAAGACATACATATTATTCATTTCAGTTGCTATCAGAATAATATGTACAATAATTATCTACATAATCCATAAAATTTAAGACGAATTTACAACAAATTACGCTTACCATCTTTTTTTTTCTTAACAGCAAACTATGACTTATTAATTTCTAATTAAACACGTTCAAAAGGTTTCACAGAATCCATCCTTTTATTTTAAAAAATTATATGCACATTGAATGCACTAATATTCCGTTTTGCGACTTTCATTTTCTGTCATTATTATTTAATGTTTGTTTTATAAGAGAAAATAGCAATAAATATTCAAAGAAGGCAATCAATCAAAATAAATACCCACGCGTTCTACACGATTAGTCTTGAATAGTCCAATATCCTTGTAACTAATACGTAATATGAAAGTAAAAATTATCTTTGACCTTGTTATAAAAGTAAGTCGTCATTGAGCAAAAATGCTTTATAATATTCAATCATAATTTCGAAACAAAATCAAACAGACACTTGCATTATTCTTTTTGCTTATTTTTTAAACTAAGAACAATGAACAAAAAAATCGAGCATAGAAATGTCATTTGAGCTTAACAGTACTTGACTATCTATGCTCAATTTTGTCCTTGGCTCTAATACACATGCAAACAAATATTGGATCGTTCTTGATTTTTTTTCGTATTCTAAATCTCTATCCTCGATAATATTCAACTGGTTTAATTGATTCTTCATCAGCTAATGTTGTATCATTATCAATACTTCGACGACTACTGCTATTCATTGAACTTCCGTCATAATTTCTTACAAATGCTCGTGCAATTGTTGCTGCATTAAATGACATTCGTTCATAATCATTATTAATTTGTTGTTGATTTTGTTCCAAATCATCATTATAATTATGATCATGTGAATGACTTCGAAATAGAGATGGACGTATTCGATTATTTTGTTGTTGTCGAGCAATTGTATCACATACAGAACAACGAGCAGATAATGATGATGTTTCATTTATTCGTTGTTGTTGTTGTTCTTGTCGATAACGATATGAATCATGAAATGATTTAGCTAATAATTCAGCAAGTATACGTGCACGTTTACTTGTTTTACATAATATAACATGACATTCAAGTTCATTTGTATGTGGTGATCGTGCTATCCATGCAAATATACGACGATGTAATGGTTCAGCAACACAATATGATATATCTTCAATAGCATCTGACCAAACATTTTTATATGTTCCACTAGATATTTCTTCATAAATCGACAAACCAAATGGATGTATTGATATTGCACAACGATTATAACGTGAACCTTTTTTTGATCGATTCCAAACAGTACGTACAGGTTCCTTCAAAGAAAAAAAACCAATCGGTATATATTTCAAAGAAAAATAAAACAATTTAAAAAACTTACAATAGCTACACCCATTCCATAAGCATATAATGAACGTACTTTACCTAAATATTTAACTGGTTGAAGACTATCATCATCGTTATTCATTGTATAATTTATTTTTTTCAAAAAAGAATATATAATTGTATGATAAATTCTTTCTTTTCTAATCGACCTTTTATTAGTATATGTCTCATTGATGGCCTTTTTTCTCTTTTCATTGATCCTAAAGTAAAGCTTTCGAGGAAATTAAACAACTGATGATGAGAAGAACAAAAGAAAGAGAGAGAGGGAGAGAGAATAAGAACGGATTCAACTATGTACTAAGTAAATGAACAAATGAAGAAGGCGGGAATAAAGATTTACAAACGCAAGCAAATTTGTTTACATATATATACATGTATATACATGTTAGTGAATAGGCGGAATGGATAAAATTTTTATTTCTTTCTCGATTACTAAATCAAAGCTCTTGATCATAATCATGGTAGATTTAGTTAAAGTTGAGTATCATTGATTATGATATAATTGGACATATAAAATATTCTATTGACTATGAAAGTGATACAAATGACTTCGTCTTAAGTCGCTGACAAAATTTACAAAAGCTTTCTTTCGGCAAGTGTCGGGTACATAACGGTTATAGCTCGCATCACTAACTATCCTGATTTTCCATGAGACAAGTACCTCGACTGTTCGCTCGTCGTTTCAGTCAAGACTAGGAGCATTATTTAGATCGAAATGAGCTTTAAATACTCTGAAAACAGTTCTTGCTCATAACTTTTTGTTACATGAATGCTGTAATTTCAAAGTATTTTTTAAAATAAATACCGTAATAACAGAATTGATTTTCAAATTTTGGCCTAAAACTTTGCGTAGCGACAGGTCTTTAAAAGAGTAGTTTATTATAAAATTACTCTATTATCATAGTTGTATCTTAGGATAGGAATATCAACACGAACTGAAACATTCACGTTGAGGCATGTCTCTACACAAAGTTTCAATGCGGACATTCAAAAAATCAGTTTTTCTGTTATCTCGATGATTATTTAAAAAATACCGTAAAAGTGCAGTATCTTCGTAGCAATAAGCTAAGAGCATAGATTCTTTTCAGGGTATTCATAGCTCATTTAAGTCTACATAATGCACATAGTCTCGACTCAAGAGAGCTTGAACAGTTGAAGGTCTTCTTTCATTAGCTAAGATACATCTGATAGAATTGAAATTGTTTTTTTTCTTACACATGCTAGGTTCTGTCCGAGGTGTCACCTTTATAAAGTCTAGCAAAAACTAGTGATGCATCATATCTTGAAGGAGAAAAAAAATCAGGCACCTTCAAGGTTTTCAAGCATAAGTAAAAGAAAGTTTCTGTACGATCAAATAAATTGTAATTGATAAACAAAAGCAGTTCGCAATGGTTTAGTTCTGTTTTTTTTTTCGACATTTAAAGTTATATATATATATATGAATTCTTGACATATGTGTAGTAGATATAGATACTTCCAACAGTGCGCATGTACAGGAGATAAAACTAAAAATGAAAAAACTAAAAATTGTTGGTCGGAAAAAAGCCTCTGTAAGATATGTATCAAGACTAAGACAATTTACATCAAAGATATATGCATATAATGGAAAAGATAACGAATAATTTGTTTCGTCATAATAAAAATACCTTGGAAAGAATCAAACTCCAAACAAGAAGATTATATACTCATAGAACGGCTCATTCTCATCACATACTCGCAAATCATAAAAACATTTCTGGTAAATCTACTCCATTCGCATTTTTCTGAAAAGATACGGATTATTTCTTTGTTAAAAGGCATGCAACAAAAAACATAGTACAAACCTGCAATAATGATACTTCTAAACAACAATGGATGAAATCAATTTTCATATGAGTATAAACACTCTCTAACAGAAATATATTTAAACTTCTATGTCTGTCCGTATGTACAATTGACAACTTAGAGTATACGTGTGATGAGTGTAAACTTTTTTTTTCTGCTTAATCCTTCACTCTTTTCTAGTCTCTTGTTCTAAACTTAGGAAGAAACAAGGTCAAGTTAGTGAGAAGAGTTTATTTCTCTTTGAATTTTTTACTACTTATATTTGATATTCTCTTTTATATCTCCCTGACACACTCGCAACTTAGGGATCCTTGTGTGGCCACTGTTTAGAAGAATACTTGAATGAAATACCAGAAATTTCTTTAAAACAAATTAATATTGTGTCAAAAACTGTTCAACATCTAGCTTTCAAGTTTCTAGTAATTTCTATCCGATGCTTATTGTATTTTGTAAAAAAGAAAAAAAAAGGTAAATAAAAAAAACATAAAAATAATTTATTAATATTCTTGTTATTTAGTTGTAGCTGAACTTAGTGATTGCTTAAGTTGATCATATAGATTAAATTGTTCATCAGTTAAACTAGTGTCATCAATTAAATTAAGTAAATCAAAACTAGTACGATGACGCTAAAATTAAAAAAAGTAAAAATTTTTATATAAATTATATATATCTAAGAAAAACGTATTTCACTTACTATATCTTTTACTAGTGCTAATGATGGATATTTTTCTACGAGATATAAAGCTATATGAAATTGTCGATTTTTAATAGCATCATGTAGTGATGATGAACCTTTTGAATCTCGATAAAATGCTATATTTTTATGATTAGCAAGAATATTTTCAATTGTTTTCATATTGCCTTGTTTTATTGCACGTTGTAATCTTTGAATTTTTTCCTAAACATTCAAATGGTTTTTTTCTGTTGTAAATTTTTCTTAAGAAAAAGAAAAAAAACGACATTCTTACTAATAATTTAGGTATTTTATTATTAACAAAATAAAATATATCTTCATGACTATTTTCAATTTGTTTCAATTGATCAACTAATTCTGTATAGCCACATAGAAGTAATTCATTAATTGCTTTTGTATTGCCTTTTTCAAATAATTCAAGACAAAATGTATCTAGACGATAGAAAACAAAAGAATATAAAAACAAAAGTATTGGATAACACATGATAAATGGTCGATTTTTGTTTTCCTCAAGGCAATTTAATATTCTCATTCAACAGAAGGTATATTTTTTATATGCTTCTTTTCTATATAAAATTAATAAAGAGGTTCTTTCGTCAGCATATGTTCTGCAGAAATCGTTAGACATCGAAAGAGAAAATACAAAGTCACGTTGACGAGATAACTACTCCAACTATAATTCACCGTTTGAACTCATATTGAACCTACAAGGAAGTCTTGATAAGACTAGAAAAGTCCTAAAAAAAGTTCATACCCATAGATCACTGCAGCCGAGTAATGACCGTTCTACTGAATTTTTGTCTCAAAATTTTCTCCATAGATGGTTTTGATGATCTTCAGAGTATCCTGAAACTTTTAGTCGAAAAAAATGTTCCTTTATCGAGATATAAAATTTCAAACAAATTACTATTTGCCACAACTACATCTGCAAGGCATCGAATTTATTTGAAAATTCAATATCTGAGCAAACTTTCAGAATATTCTAAGAGTCATTAGTTCTATCTACGTATTGAGTTTTAGATCGAAAATCCAGTACAACGGTTATAAATCAGCTCTAGAGACCCATGGTCACGAGCTTTTTCTTTTTTTTAGCTTTTTCTAGTCTCATCAACACTTCCTTATCGATTCAATATGAGCTCAAATGGTTAGTTGCAATTCTCGCGTTGGTGGTAATTTTGTAGATGATGATCTTTTTAAGTTTTCACCGAGAAGAAAAATATTTCGAAAAACAAAATCTACTATATTGTACCGAAACAAATTTTCTGTTGATTGAAGATAGAAACAGGTTTTAAAATACTCGAAAGAAAGAAATGAGAAGTAGCCATTTATTGTAGATCACTCGATAATTCTTTGTTTTTTTTTTCTTAAATATACCGATTTGATCAACGTTCCCTTGAAGATTGGCCTCAACCGCTACATCCCGTGGTGTTTTTCCTTCAGCATTACGTGATGCAATTGAATGATAATTTTCATGAAGTAATTTTGAAAGATTAGCACCTGTAACAGAATGTCTTAAATATTGATTATGAAAAAAGACATGTTTTTTTTCTTTCAAACCTCGAGTTGCAGCTCGTCGATGAAGTTGAGTTTCACCGAATTCAACCATAAACACTTCATCATCTTCTTTATATACGGCTGACATTGGCAGAGAAGCGGCTGATTTTTCTTTCTGCCTAAATTATGATTATCCCTTTACTTATTTGTTTTAAAAAAAAGGTTTATTACCGTTTAGTCAATTCTTCTGCATTTCTTCGACTTTTTTCTTCAGCTTGACGTTGTTTACGTTCATTGTCTTCATGTTGACGTAAAGCTCGAATTTCATTTTTAAGTTGCGAACGACGTTGCTTGTCTTCTTCAGCTTGTTGTTTTTCAATTTCTAATTGTTTTGCATCAGTGTTTTTCTATTATTATTTTTTTATGAAAAAGAAAAATATCACACTAAAACTGAAGAAAAATCAAATTATTTTACTTCTTTTTGAGCACGTGCAGCATCAACCTGTTCATAAAGAAATGTTGCTAAATATTCAATAGGATCATTTGGACGACGTTCGACTATTTCTGCTAAACCACGACTTAATACTGGTCCTATATACACAATGAAAAACAATATACTAAAAAATGGAAAATAAAGAACTTCCTACGGATGTGCAATGCACGGATCTGGATTAGGGGATGAAAGGCACAGTGTATATTTTCGTATGGCACGCAGATTTCCTAGCATAGAAATGCGTTTTTAAGGAAAACAACGTTTTTCAATGACAAATATCTGAAAAGACTCTTGCCTTCGTTTTTCCGAGAAAATTTTTTTCTTCAAAATTGTTTTGTGTTATATATCTTTCGATACTATTAAACGCACTGTATCCGAATATGGATTATTAAGTATTTTACCAAAGCAACAAGAAAAAGCAGGAAAACGAAGTTTTTACGGAAACCTATTGTACTGTCAAGGAATGTTTGTGTTAATAGGCATTAGAGACATTAGATAGAAGAGCTAGTGGTTCGAATGACACTGTAGAAAAATATGCAGACAATGTACTTGGTTTTCTATCGAATAGTTTAATTTTGTCAGATACAATATAGTTATCTATACCATCAGATAGATTATATTTCGAAGTATATTTTCGTATATTTAGATCTTGAAAAAGACACGATTTTCATTTTTAGTCAAACGTCTCACCATATGTAAAATGTACCCCTGACTCATCATTTCTAGTACTAGAAACGTGAAAGCACTTTCTGCCAAATTTTTCGCTCTTTGCACTTCTAAAACATACCAACAACCTTGGTGTAAATACTAAAAAATGAGTCACTGACGCAGAGCCCGATTGCCCACTGACATAACGCGTTCGCTGCAACATTGAGACAGCAATTCAATCAAAATATACTCTTTCTTTTTAGTGGTATGTTCTAATGCTTGTGTTAAATCTAGTGCCAGTGTACACTCGGTCAAGGTGAAAAGAACATCACTCTAATAGTTCAAAGTACGAGTAGATATCGCACTTCGTTTATAGGTCATTCCTACTTCAAAATACTTGAGTCACACTTTTTTCCTTGTGACACTAATAACAGTGAGCGGGTGGATCAGTTAACTGAAACTGCATATTCTTGGAACTTACCAACAGTTGATATGAGGTATTTCGTTTCGATTGAATTAGAGTCTATTGGAGGACGACGTCCGGAACTAATTCGATTCATTCTTCCTTTTTTTTCAACTTAAAAGAAATATATACGTGTTATTTGCTCTGCATTATCTTCCATTCTTGTTGGTTGATATCACTTAGTTACGGACTTTTCTTTTTTATCTAGTCCCGATGAGTTAATATTGCGTTGTGGCGCCGCCATCATTATCATCGTGTATTCAATACAAAGAATTTCATTTGAAATATTAACTTAAATTCTTTAAATTATCTGTTATTAAGTTTGCGATAGTTTTCATTGAAGTTAACAGTAGAAAAATTATTCGTTTAATTGAAATATTAACTCATGAAAATCAAGAATCAATGATTTTTCTTTTAATAATTTGCTAGATGAGAATCAAATACCATCATTTCGGAGATTTGTATCATTTATGATACAATTCTTTTATTTATTATTAAATTATTGGACTGGCTCTTGGATTTAGTCTAAACCTTTTTTTTTAATTGGATTTAATCGACTTGAAGTTTTTTTTAACCAATGTTCTTTCTACGTAAACGCCAAACGTGGATCATTTAATATATAAACAATCAACAATGCAATGTGATCACATTAGACTGATAACGCAACGAAACAAAAACCAAAGTTTTGTTGTTCTCTTTATTTCTCGTAATGACCTAAGTTGTACTTTATGAAATAAGATAAAATATAAAACATTCGTAGCGAACACATGATGAAAAGACAACGATGAGTAAAATTTATCATGAAATTGTTTTTATTTTTATGATCTTTCTTTTTCAAAACACAATTTGTTTGATTAACAATCCAGCTATTGCAATTTTAACTGAATCAAATATATATTTAGCACAGATTAATGAATTTAATTATACAAATGATAGTTTTTATTTAATTTATCATCATAATGATTCAGTTTATCATTTACAAAGTTTAACATCAAATAATTTTATTAATAGAATTTATGTTTGTTCACCAAGTACAATATATGCACTTGATTTACGAATAGGATCAACTATTGTACCATTTTCACCTGTTGATGATACACCATGTCGATCAAGTTTAATATATCTACCGGGTAAAGCAACACTTGTTTGGGCATTACGTCATGCAGTAATGCAGTTAGATTTTCAACAAATGTCTAAAGACCTTCTATGGGATTCAGCATCAACAATTAATGATATGATATATAATAATACAATAATTGGCGATGATGATGAATTTTATTTGAGTATTACAAGAACTGATCATGATATAATTATTTTAAAGTGTCCAACTAATAATCGTGTTCGTATATTACCATTTCAATCTTGTCTTATTATAGATAATGGTTATCAAGACATATCAGCATTAGCTATTGATGGTAATCGTTTATATGCTGCTGATCGAATTCAACATAAAATATATGTATTAACTTTATTACCAAGTGGTTTTATTGTATCAAAAGATATTTTACCATTAAATACTAGTACAGTAGCTGATATTCAATCAATGTTTATTTATAATCATTATCTTGTATGGTTAACAATAAGTGGTCATGTACGTATTGTTTCATTAATTACTTATGAAGTACGAAATATTTTTTGGTTTGATGAACAATTACGATCAATTCGACTTGTATCGTTTGCTCAATGGCCAAATCATACAACAACAACTAAAATAACGACAACGACTAAAGCATCAACAACAACAACAACAACAACAACAACAACGACTAAAATATCAACTACAACATATTATTCAACATCAACAATAGTAGATGATTATATTAATAGTTCTTGGAAAGCAACAGCTTATGTTACATCGATTATTTTAGGTGTAGCTTTATTTTTTTGTGCAGCTTTAATTACTTGTGTTTTACTTAATTATCGTCTTGGACGAGTTGTTCCACATAGTTTTACGAATATATTTCATATTTTACGTAATCGAACAGCAGTACCACAAGTACCACTATCAGATGAATCACTGGCATAAGCGAGAAATTCATCTTATCACTTTATTTTATTTTATTTTATTTTCGTTTTGTATTTATTATTCTTTTTTCTCTATAAGAATAAATTCTATAAACATTATAATACAAGTACTTGTGTAGATTCTGAAAAAAGACAAATAATGAATTACGAATGGATCGTTATGTTGAAATGCAGGCATGCAAATAATCTAGTTACATGATCTGATATTATTTTTTTCATGGAATTTTTTCTTCAGACGTCTATTTAGTAAGAAAAACAAACAATGGTAACCTTGAGAAATCTATTGATCACACATTACTCTGTTAGCATTATGTTGCAGACACTTCAATATCAAATGCGTCCGAATGCCTATCAAATCATAACGAATGAATAGCATATTTTTAAGAGAGTGCTTAGATAAGCATTTGTAATATTGTGCCAAAAGGATAAATACAATATGAATCAATGAATTTTCAACTTAATGATGACTGAAAATTTTACAGATAAGTTTTCCAGTAAATTGAATCATTAAAAAGAGAATCGATTATTTCTTTTTTTCACTATACTCATTGATATAAATCTTCATTTGTCATCAAATTATTAATTCTTGTAAAACATATCCGAAGTACAACTCAATACATATTCGTAATTCTCTAAATTAAAGTAGTTATGAATAGTTTACTCTCAAAAAAATAAAACCAAATAATAATGTTTTTAACGATAGTATGATTAGTCACGACCATGGTGATACAATATTCATCGTCTAATTTTTATATGAAATTATAGTAGGAAGGATTATATGTCGGAAATGTTTATCCGGAATTAATATTCTAATATTTGTTGGATCCAAAGCAGCGAATAAAAAAAGAACAACAATACTGAGCTTAATAATTTTCCTAGTAACCTCCCAAGCATTGTTAAAATACGATTTTCAGAAGTATTTTTATTTAATTTTCGTATACGTCTGTTCGGAAATGAAACTCAACTACTTCATTGTACTCCCAGATTTGAATATCAGTGAAATACGATGAAATATTTGGACTTTATTGACAGATACATTTATATTAAACTCAAAGTAATTTGCTCGTAAGACACGTGGATAACAGACTTGAAAGAAGTTCTCGATAATACCTTTGATATATCCTTAGAGTACGAATTTTTTGCTTTTTTATATCTTTGTTAAATACACAGTGGTTCAAAAATCATCCCAGCACTCTTTATATGCAAATAACTTTTGTTAAGAGAAAAATAAAGACATGCAGCTTTCAACATTTGAAAGACACGGTGTTACTGCATGATCGACTGATGACTAAATTGTCAGACAATGGGTTTGATAAAAAAAATTGATAGCTCTACGAAGATGACACAGAAGTTTCATTCTAAGAAATGTGCATGCTTATGATCCATCCAAAATCTCGAAATTTCTATCGTAAGAGGTTTAAGAGTTCCAGGTAGAAACACCAGTATGCATGATGAGCACATTGTCTAGCATATAACACTACAGATAGACCACCAAAAATAAAGAGATACATGTTCGAGGAAGAAAATTTTGAAATGAACTTACTAGGGAATCTGGTTTTCCATTGAGTCGTCTTCTAGTGCATTAAGATCTCCATCAAACTTTAATCGATTGAGCTGAATTTTTTTTTTTGGAGATACCTACGATAATATCTAAGAGGTAATGATAAGCCTTTCCAAAAATCTCACTTTGTTTCTTTTTAGGAGAGAAATACAGAAAATTTTAGTGCCCAAACGGAGATATTGATTTTAAGAACCCTATAAATTCAGATAGGAAACCAATTTAACCTGTGGAGCATATTTCCAAGTCTTAATGATAATAGTTTCAGCTCGATTACATGAAGTTTAATAGGAGTTATGACGAGAATGCATTTTCATGAATAACCAGAATTTTACAGCAAAAACCTGCTTAAAAAATTCCTTCGACCAGTAGAAACTGTACCAAGAAACAGGTTACCACTCCTTTTTGGATGTTGCAATCAAATTTTTTTCGATTTTTAGTATAGCTTCGAGGTGTTCTTTGTCAAATGCCGTATAAATGAGGACTCTTCAACATTGATTTAATCCGACTCTCGAAACTCTAAGCACACTAGCTCGCACTGGGATTATTTTTTCTATCTAAAATTCTCCTAAAGGTATTTTTTAAAGGTGCTAACAACATGAATTCTGAATCTCTAACACAACTAGTTCACCGATCACTTAAGTTAGCGAAAAACAATCCTAAGGCACAGAGGAAAATTTCTTTTCCTCAAAACCAATTTTTACACTAAACTGCAAACTCGTTCCCGTTTCTTCGATATAGTACATTCGATCGAACTGAAGCTTTCCTTACAAAAGAAAGCTTGTAAAGAAAGAAGAGCCTTAAACTGCTATGCTATCTTGATCGAGCTATCAGTATTTTTATCAAAGTCACTGACTGATAATCCCTTGATCAACTAATCACGTGTGAAATCATGCCATGATACAGCTTCTTTCGAATGGTAAAAGCCACAGCTGTCTATCTGGTTCCTATCAAAAGTAATTCACAAATAAAAAATTGCCAGATGACTTTTTGTACCACTCTATATATTTCATAATTTCATTATTAATAAATAATATCAATTCTATCTATCTTTAGTCTTTGATATATTATGACAAATAATAAACTGTTAGTGCATTTGTCTTGGTATGCATAAATAGAATTATATGAGAAAAACTTTAATATGCATTGAAACGACACAAGAAAAAGAAATTTATTCCTTTAAAAAAAAAAATTGAAAAAAAAAAAAGAAAATTTTGCTTTCCATTTTTTACCCATTGTTTTTATTGATTGGTTAAAATGACAATTTATTAATGCATCATATTTCAGTAGAGGTCTACATCCATAATGATAATACACAATGGCGACTGTCGGCTGATGACGATCATTTATCCATTGAAAAACAGGCCCAAACTAGGATCAATAAAATTTTCTGTTTGATTACTCTAATGAGAAAAATATTTATCTTTTATATTTAGATTCTTACTATCATATGAGTTAAACATTATTTGATTGTATATAGCATTATATGTGATTTTAAATATTCGAGTTATTTTTCATTATACATATATATATATATTAAAATCGAGTTATTATTGTTATTTATTATTATTATAGTTTATATTTGCACGATTATTTTGTGCTATACAAAAACCAATTTTTTTTCTCCTTTTATTTTATTATTATTCAATAGAGAAAAAAAGAAAATAAAAAAATTATCTATAATGTAAGTTTATTAAACATAACAGAACATATAGCATAGATGTTTGCTCTTTCACCTTCCACCTTAAATTTACTTTTTTTTTTCTACCTTTTGTATGATGAGATGCTTGACCAATGGGAAAACAAAATTGTTTCTTTTTTTTTTTTATTCGAACTTATTGTATTCTTGCACGCATCATTACATTTTTTTTGCTTTAGGTGTACCACGTGATTTTTTATAAATGAAATGTTTCTTTTTTTTTGTTTATTTATTAACAGAATGTCGATGCGATAGAATAATATTTTGATAACTAATGGATGATATTCGTTTAATATCAGCATCACCACCGTTATCAACATCATCATCATCATCATCAATATTAAAACCAGTTTGTTCATCTCTGACTGGTTCATTAACAAATAATCGACAACGAATAGATTCAGCATCAGTTATACAACAATCTGATGTATCATCATCGAGACCCGCTTTATTGGCTGATGATGCATTAGGACCACTTCTTTTTGAAGTATGTCAAATTCCTTTTTTTTTCTCTTTTTACTTTTCGAAGACAATCTGTAGGATGTAGGAAGAAGAGTAAGTTGGTATTAATTCCACCGTATGTCAAGGAAAGAAAAACTGAGAAGGCGTATATGAATGAACAAATGTAACTGGCTTTTCTTTCTGTTGTTTCCTTTCTTTTTGCATCAATGTGTGTGTGTGTGTATGTGTTGAAAGAAGGCGATGACAACGACGAAAAAAAAACTACACTCGACATCGGGTCTCCGCGCATGCACACAGCGCATTATGCAGACTGGAACAAGAAACAAAGGAAAAAAGCGTTTACAGCCGTTACACTACTTGTTATTCTTCTTTTCTTTTCTTTTTTTTTTCTTTAATGTTGTTCGTCAAGGCGCAAAGGCGTTCTGCATATCGACATGCATGTGTTATAGTTGCCGACCCGCTTCCTTAATAACGATTAGCGGACTGTTTGTAAAAAAACAGAATACCAACACGTTTTTTATCCTTTCTGTATTTCTATCATGAAAGAGATTATCTTTTTTTTTTTTATTATCAGAAAAAAAAACAAAGAAAAATAATATAATGATATACATCTAATTGTGGGCGTGAATGAATTGAATAAATAAACGAATTTTTGCTTTGAATAAGAAAAAGTAGAAAGAATCTAATTAAAAAGAAAAGAAAACTAATCTAATAAATTATATTTACTTTATTTCTTTTAGGCTCTTGATGGATTTTTCTTTACAATAAATCATAATTGTGAACTTGATTTTGTAAGCGATAATGTTGGACAGTATTTAAAATTTTCTCAAGTAATTTAATAAATTTTCGAAAAACAAAAAAAGAATTAATTATATATAAATAATAAATCAAACTTTTTCAATTAGGAAGAACTTGCTGGACGAAATTTGTATCATTGTGTACATCCGAGTGATGTTAGCGAGTTTAGCAAAGCTTGGGCAAAAAAAGATGCCGGTTTGTTTTTTTTTTAATTTAAAGAAAAAAACGATGAAATTTTGTTTTATTTATAAAAATTATTTTTAGGTGATTCTTTAGCTCCAACAAGTAATATTGAACAACAAAATGCTCAATCACGTGGACGTACATTCCTATGTCGTATGCGAACAAATGATGAATCTTCTCCATACGTTACAATGATTGTATCAGTTGCTCTTCATCGTGATTCAGCCAGTAGTGATAAAACATTTTTAATATGTATTGCTCGTCGACCACCATTGAATGAACTTAAAGATAAACCAGCTTTACTTGGTTTTGATCAATTTTCATCACGAATTAATTTACAATATGATATTGAAAGTTTAGATTCAAGGTACAACAACGAAATAAATAAAAATTTATTGTTTATTATTTTGTTTCTTTTTTAGTCATATGAAATGTGAAACAATTGATATGAATTTTATGAGAAAAAATTTTCGAGATTATGTTCATGTAAATGATATTCCATTAATTAATCGACATTTTCAAGAAGGTAAAATTTAACAAATCTATAAGATAATATAATGAATTGAGTTTTTTTTTTGAAATACATCAATAAAGGATATAGAAGTTTTAATGATTTCTAAGAGTTTATTTTCGTTGTCAAGCACTTAACGAAATAGATGTTTCTTCTAAAAACAATCAGTATGTGCTCGTATTAAGTTCCTGATTTCTGAAATTTGGATATTGCCAAGATAATAATAAAGAATACCTTATGAACTATAATTTGATTGAAAATTAAGGTTTAAGTTAAGGATATGAGCACGAACTCCATCTTCATCCTTACACCCACACCATCTCAAAAATGTTATTTTCATTACTTAGGTCTTTTACTGGTTTTATTTTCGATATTATTAGCATTAGATTTCCTTATCTTCTGTCTCGAGGACAGAAAACATATCTTTACGTCCGATTTCGAATAAACTTTTAATTAGTTAACGTTGGTATAGGTGAAGAGAAGATCTACATCCATCCGCATCATGAAGGTTATTATAGTCTAAAATACTTTTAACTATTATCTTGATATATAAATATACCACATCTTTTAAAAACCAATAATCGAAAGATTTACACGATATCAAATATGAATTAGTTTTTAACTTTAATTTAAAAGCAATGTAACCAACAATGCAAAAGTTTCACTTGAAAACAGTTGACCAGAATAAAACTGTTTTACTTTTTCCTCATATATGTTTAGAGTTTTTGTTCTGGGATAAAATTGTTTCAAAATAAAATGATTCTAAAGAATATTATTTGAGTCAATTTTGTATTTTGATTGAAACCTATCAAATTCAAAATTTGAAATCATTTTTAATAGTATGATTTATTCTACAAAGCGTACTATTTACTTTAGCATAATAGCTTTTAAAATTATTCTATTTTTAAAAATGAATTTTTTCTCAATACTAATTTTCGTAGAAACGAAGTGTGTCAATTTCGTATAATTCTTATGATGTAAGAAGAAAAATTAAGAATGATATTTAGATTTGAGAATTTTTCTAGAAAAAAATATCTCGTATTTTCGAAACGACTATCCTATTAAGATTATCAATGTACGACTGTTATTTGCCAGGAATGATTTTCTTTTTTTTTTTTCGTTTAGTTATCTATCTATTGTAGAATTAATCTTAACTATTGTGATTATTTTCTCATTTGAAATAAATTTATTTTTAGTTATCGAAAAAGGTGAATCAAAAAGTGCTGTCTATCGATTCTGTTTACATGATAATATATATGCTTTTGTTAATACTCACAGTAAATTATTTTCTAATACAACAACTGGTAAATCAGAATCAATTATGTCTACACATACAATAGTTCGGTAAGTAAATAAAAATAAAAATGAAAAGATTCTATCGAATAAGATTATTATTATCTTTCATTTGAAAAATTATTTATAATATTTAATAGACTAACTTGGATTGTAATAAAAAAATTATTTTTTCATTGAGAATGTATATATCAGTTAAAGTAATGGTGAGCAATATGACTAAATATAAGAACTCAGTATGTTTTCAAATCTGATGTATATCAAATTTTATTTAATATTATTTCTATAACGTTTTGATAATTTTACTAGCTTCTATAATCTGTTGCTTTTATGATATTTTGTGCTAAGTTCATCATGCTCTATGAATCTTTTGAAACTCGTAAAAAAGAAACTTTTCGCTTGTGGACCCCTGGATTGAGTAGAGAGATATGTAAAATATGTAATTTTTTTTAAAAGACCGAACATATATTGATTGTAGTAGAGCTCTATACTCTAATTATACGCAACTATTCGAAACCTAAAATCGTAAGGAACAAAAGCGAACAAAAAAAAAAAGAACTAATATTTACAATAGTCTATTCTTGTACTCTCTTTAAGGATTCGAAAGCGAAAAATATTTTTTGCCATTTTCGAAACATCTACCTATGCCAAATAATAGAACATGAGAAAGATATATATTGTTCCAATTGGTAGGAATCGAAAAAAATGATCGGTTTTAAGTATTGATTGGTCGATTTGATTGTGACGTACATCAATTCAGAGGTATACTTATAGAGCTGAGTAAAACACAATTAATAAGAAAATTGCATGGTTGATTCTCTTTACTCTCAATAGCCTTATCGAAGAGTCGAAAACATCATAAAAGTAAAACATTACAAAGCTAATAACAATACAAAGATTTTCGATATGACGAAAGTTATTATGAGTATTATAAGATATACACTATTGAAGATAAGATCAAACTCTATTGAAATGACTTTACACAAAACTTGATATCGTTTCGTTTGGAAACAGAACAAAACACAAAACGTTGTTCTGTGACTACCTTTGTTATGAATATTCTTCTTTTCTTTGTATCATTCGGTTATCAAGTACCTTTTTATCGTCCTATTTTTTTTTACTAATGGTTTCTACCATATGTTACCTTAATGATGATAAAACCCACAAGTTCATATACTCTCTTTTTTTTTATAAATGTTTCCTGTAATACACGTGTCATTAAAATAATAAATCAAGATGTTTCTATATAGTCTTGTATGTATAATATTAGTCACCATGAAAAATAATACGAAATATATTAGTTATATGATGACTAATAGGTACTTTCGTGATCGAAAGTAATCAAAACAAGGCTTCTTTCTATTCTGTGCTCAACTCTGTAACCTACTAAGCCCTAGAATTTAGTCATATCTCTCAATATTACTTTAACTGATATAATGCTTCTCATAAGGAAAGGTTCCTAAGTGATACATTGCTTCTAAGTTCGAATAATTTGTATCATGTAGACTGTTGCTCGTGGTCTCCTTCAAAGACATCTGAAAAATTCAAACTAGTCTCATTAGGGTTTGTCTGTATGCAAAGCTTGAACTTCAAATACAAAACTCAGTTTTCTTGATATCTCTGAAGGAGACTACGACATTCTACATGATGCATATTGCCTAAGCTCAACAGCAACGTATCAGTCAGCGATCTTACCTCGCCAGTAAAAAAAAAAATTAGTTTCCTATTCCAGTGTGAGTCGCACTATAAAACAGTATAAGCAAATTTTCAAATGGAGAATAATCATCTTCTCCAACATATTCATTTTCTTTTTGAAAATCATAATCTATATAAATTATTTTCTTCTAGTTTAATTGATAATATAAATGATTTAAATGGCAATGCTTCAACACGTTTGATGAAATCAATAATAACATCAAATCGTGATTTACAAAGAAATAAACAACAATCACCAACAAATAAAATTCTTACACAACCACCAGCACCAGCATCAACACCACCCATTGGTACACAATTTGCATTAACTATGTTAGGCATGCATAAAAATGCATCCGATTCTTTACAACAACATGTATCAAGTACATTGGGAACACTTCTTCAAGTACAAAATTCTTTATCAGCACCAATATCTAGTCCTAATGATAAAGCTCAACAACAATTAACTATCCCATCACCACCACGAACAAATGTTCAAAAATCTTCTACATTTGACAGTAAATATAATTATATATATATATATATATATGACAAATATTTTTGATTATTCAAGAAATAATTAATTTTTTTTTCCTTCTTTTTTTTAAGATGTTTCTTCATCGAATAAAGTAGAATTTGGTAGTAAACGAACATCTTTTAGTCCTTCATTAAATTCTGGTAAAATTAAAATAGAAAAAAAAAATAATTCTTCAAACAAAAAGATTTCTATTTTTTTTTAGTGAACTCCAGTCATGGTAGTATTCCATCACCTGCTAATTCTTTTGACTTACTTTTTTCATCTGTATCACCAACAAATGATTTAAATTCATTTTTACCATCATGTTCACCAACTAATAAAAAACCATCATCACCATTACAATTATTAGATCCAACATCATTACTTTTTTCAAATAATGATATTTATTCAACAGCACCAAGTCCAATAACAACTCCAATAACACAATCACGTAGTTCAACACGTTTAAGACAATTACTTGCAACGAAATCACCATCATCATCAACAACACCAAGTCCACATTATCATACTGATACAAAATCTCATACAAATACATTCGATGATCTTATACAAGTTGTTGAAAGTCCAACAACAACACATGTATCACCTGTACCTAATGATATACTATCACCAATAAAACGTGTTAGAAGTCAAAGTCAAACAAATGGAATTTCAAATAATAATGCAGCTGACATGCTTCTTAAACAAATTTTAGGACGACAACCACCTATAACAACAATGTCATCAGCACCAAATATAGCTGATGTTACAACATTAGATAATAATTCAACATGGTCATCACCGGCTTCTGTACCAACAATAAAAACAGAAGCTAATACTAATGATGATAATACATCAACTGAACAAACAACAAATACAATTGGTACCACAAATAAATTACGTAGCGATATTTTTCTTCGAGTAAGCAAAATACATTGAAATTTTAAATCTAATTTAAATATTAGTATATAAACTAAGATTACATATCAGATATCCAACGAAAGTATTTGTAGTTTTCCAGATAAAACTAAAAGTATAATTACTCATCAAATATACTTGGTATTTACATTTGTACTTTGACAATAAGTGCTTAGAGTATATACTTATATTTGTACTTGAAATAAAAAAACATTTGGTACTGATACTTGTACCTTGGAGAAAATACTTGGTACTTATGTCATATGAATCATAATAATTGTAACATCTAGTATTTTGCAAATGTCTCAACATAAATAAATTCTAGTCTTGCCTTTTTCTAGAAGATGCGTTGTGAAATTCTTCAGAAGATAGAAGAGCTCCAACCATAGGAATATGATTAGTTAGTAATTTATCAATTAAGTGAGCTCTTGATTAAAGATTTTCAAAAATGATATTCTGGAACTATTTTCCTTTCAATAAAGTTTTTTAATAGAACTAATCTATAGAAAATAAAAACGTTTCTGTTCCAATCTACACAATGATGACAATTCCTAGTTTGTTGCATTCGAGAGTTATATGACTTTTCCTATGATTAAATTCAAAATTCTCCAAGACTAATCGTAGTATATCTGAAATTCTACAATTAGTCTGCCTCTGATGAAGGAGTCGACATTTCAGAAACATTGAGATGATAGAGTACGATCATTTCGAACTTAATCATCATTCGATTCAGTATGATGAATTATTCTTGCGTTTTCGAATAATCACAGATCAGTTGGCTGAAATCAAGCATGTCAGAAAAAGTCTTATAACTATTGCACGAAAGAAACTAGAAATATTGGCCTTGTGTAGATTGAAAGGGAAATATCTTTAGAAGAATGTTTTCGAAAATTTCTATCAATAATTCACTTGATTAGTCAATTGCTGACTAATCTTATATCTAAGGTTCGAGATTTACAGTTTTGAATGGTGAAAACTGCAACTCGCTACGTTCTTCCTATTAAAAGTTATTCTAAAAACAGTAAAGCGAATAAATAATAGATTGATGCTATGTATCAATCGTCCTTCATGAGTTCAAACTTAATCTGTTGATTGATAAGCTATCAATTTTTCCTTTCATTCGATATAGGAAATTAGCATATGAATTAATCTCAAATAGTAATCAAAATTTGATCGACCTTCATGTGATGTGACGAAACTAGAAGGCTAATATAGATTTTTTTTGTTCAGATAAGAATATTTTGGTATTAATATAAGAGATTTGATTCGAGAGAGTATGACGAAAGTCCTTTCATAGATAAATTGCTTTTGAATCGAGATTATTTAGATCTAAATAAAATATGAATCCACTAAAAAGGAGTTCGTAACTCTTATCTTATTGCTGTGGAGATTATTGCACTTTTATGGTATTTCTTATAATGAATGCTGTTGTTAAAGAAAAAACTGATTATTAAATTTTTACTTGAAATTTGTCATTGGTTTTAGGTCTTTTGATTTTATTCTATTCTGAAAAAAAAGAACATCAAATCTGCTATTGTATATAAACCGATGTAAAACTATTTGCAGAGTATTCGTCGCTCATTTAGATCTACATAATTTTTGATTCAAAAGTGATTTATCAAGTGAAATTCATGAAAAAGTAATTTTGTGATTCAGACTATTTTCTTCAGTCAGTTGTCTATTCTAATCAAATATTTTCTAAAAATGGTCATGATAATAGACATTGAAAAGACTACTTCGCATTAGAGTCATAATAGATTGAAGTCTTTTATCATTGACTAAGTAAAAACATTTGAAGCTTCATTTGTCAACGAAGTGATGTATATTAAAGCTTTTAGAAAGCTTTTTTTTGAAATTCAAGAAGAAAATAATGGTTTTGTTTCTTTCTAAATCCGATGCATGAAAGTGATTCAATCTCAAATTACTCTTTGAGATCAAGGGAATACTAAGATCTGTTTATATTAAATACATCAGACGAAAACAGAAGATTAAATGTAGGTACATTTTACCTATTAGTATAACTATTGTGCATCAATGAGAAGTTCAAGATTTGTTGTATTTTTTTTTTGTCCGGAACTTAATTTTCTTTTTGATCAATATCAAAAAATGGTTAGTTCCACTCATAATTAAATATATTTCAGTAAACATAATATAAATCTAAATGAGAATGTCAACGTCATAGTATTTTGAAAGATAATTCTATTCGTTTATTCATTCATTTGTATACAATTTATTTGTCTAGACATTACTCAATGATGAAGTACGTCCACAAAAAGTTGTTGTTGAAACTCCATTTGTTTATAATTCTCGACATAAAACAAATCAACGTACATCAAGTGTTACAAATCAAATGCTTGGAAGTAATGTTAAAACACTTGTTAATAATGGACGTTCAGCATTAAAAAGTCAATTATCATTACAAATAAATAATTTACCAGATACAACTATATGGGATCAAAAATCAAAGAAAAAAACACGACAACATGCACATAGTTTTGGTAGTCGAAATACTGTTATGACAACAACAACAACAACAACACAACCAAGAAAACCTGGACGACCAAAACGAGATGTATTTATATAATTGAAATTTAGATTTTTGTTTTGTTAATTGTAATATTTATTGTTTTGTTTTCTTTCTTTTCTATTTTAGCCATCAGAATATCTTTTAGCAAATCCTCAATCGACATTATCGGATAATTCACTTGATTCATTATATGATTCATCTTCAAATATTGAACAATCATCGCCAATTGCACTTCGTCGTACAACACGACAATTAGCAGCATTAAATGCAAATACAACAAATTTAAAACGTCCTATTGATAATGATGATCAAATACAAAATCCAAGAAAATATCCTAAATTACTAACACAAGTCATTAAAGATGGTGTTAAAATTGAATGTCAAGATCATTCAATCATTTCACCATCAGCAGCTATTGCTGCTACACGTCCACTTAATCAAGTAAATTATTCTTTACAAGAAAATTTTCATTTGTCACTTATAAGTTTCGATCTATTGAATTCATTCATAGAAACTAATGAATAAATTACTAATTCTGATAAGTTTTTTTGTTTTTTTATGAACGATGATTGAAAGAAAATATTGAAGTGCAAGGTTAGAAATTTAGATCCTCGTCTAAGCCGGTAATAGTCGTTATTTATAAAAGGTCACAACATTTCATTCGAATCTATAAAGTATTTCTTTATTGCTTTTCTAAAGAACAATAGATGAATAAATGTGTCCTGAAACAGATAGAGAAAAACAAACTCCTTTTGACTAACAACAATAGCAGACACATCGTGTTTCACATTTCGATCTCGTAGGAATTGCGTTCATAGATTTTTTATACAGACTCATTATTCATACAGATGTGAAAGAAACATTTTTCATGTCTAATTGAGGGAGGGGGTCATTTTAAGCTTGATTTTACTCCAATTATTTTCTATTCTATATACTAAAAACTTTATTAGAACTAACAGCCAGTGCAAAAGCATTCCACCGGTCATTTTGAAATAGTTTCCTATCAAAAAATAATAGAAACTTGCAACTTCTTGTTACGACTTTTCATCTAGGCGAGATCTTAATAATAGGTATAGATGATTTTGAATGAGAATTAACAATACTACCATCAGAGCTAGGCCATTATGAACTTTTTAGAGTATGATTACTCTAACAATTGAATAAATTCTAAATCAAAATCACATATGCTTTTCAACATCTTCTTAAAGAACTCATTTGATTGATCAGTCACTAACCGATCAGATTTCCTGTGACATAAATAGCTGAGAATCTTGTCTTTTGAATAATGAAAACTGCAGGTCTATATATTGTTTCTGTCAAAAACTATTCAATTAACAGCCAGGTCCATTGCTTTATAAAAAAAAACGACAATAGATCAAGAAAATCTTTATCTTAAATCGTGCATATGTCAAAAGTTTGTAGTCACTTTTATTAATTTGTATTTTCTTTTGTCTATTTAGTCACCTCAAACAGCAATTAAAACTGAACCCGATATATTTGATCGTAATTATCTATTAGATAAAACTCCATCACCATTATTAAGACGATCAATAAATAATTCAATATCAGCCAATTCTCAATCAACATTATTACGTTCATTAATTCGTTCACCACAAACTCCATCATTAACAACGAAAAAAGATGCACCATTATATGATCTTTTACAAAATCTTGATTCAAATGATTCATCTATATTTACAACTATTAATTCAGCTTCAACACCACCACCAATAACAATAAATAATAATAATAATAATAATAATAATAATGCTAGTACTAATAATTCAATTGATCCTCTTGAACAATATCTAACTCCAGCATCATCACAATCAACATCAACAACTAAAAATTCATCATCTAAAGATGATTATCTTGCTGCTTTATTAAGCTCGGATCCTCAACAACCAAATGAAATATCATTTATTCCAATAAATAAACAACAACAACAACAACAACAACAACAACAACAGCAGCAACAACAAACACCAATGTTAACACGATCAGCATCAACATCGAGTGATAGTGGTCGTATAGCAGCCATTGTTAATGATCTATTTAGTTCAGCAACAAATGTAGCAACATCAAATAATTCTAATGATGATTTCTTATCTTTATTAGATAGTAAAGATTTTCTCGAGGTAAATAAATCGCAAAAAAAAAAATTTGTTTTTCTAAAATAAAATTCTGTTTTTCTTTATTTTAGTGTTTAAATGATCCAACAACAATTGATTCAATACTTTCTCAAAATTCTACAAATGTTATAGAAACCTCATTTTCATCACCAACATCTAAACGTAGTGAAAAAGATGAAAAAGCTATTAGTGAAATATATAAAACACTTGTTACTTCATTTAATCCCGGTAAAAACTTATTTTTATTTTTGTATAAATATATATTTATAGTAGTAGATTTAACTTTTATATTTTTAATAAAAAAAAAAACAATCAATTTTCATTTCAATATACATCAGAAATATTTAACTATGACATCATTTTAATAGAAATATTAATATTCATAAGACAATAAAAATTAAATTTGAAGTGAAAAAAAAAAGAACTTAGATTTGAATGCAAAAATCATTCAAATAGATTGTTTCAAATCGAAAACGATTGTAATTATATAATCTTCTCTTGTTTAGGTCCGCCTTCACTCGATCTATCTGTTGATAATAGTCCTTTCAGTAACTTATTATTTTATGTTTTTTCTTTCAAATAACCTTCTCATTTTTCATTCTTAAGGCTCTATCACCGGTGACTTTTTATTAGCTGAAAATTCTCCTATGTCAATACCACCAAATCGAACAGTTAATGCTGATCCATCTATGACAATGTACCGACAACAGCCAACAACATATTCATATCAAACTCATCAACAACAGCAACAATCATCCACAAATGTAAAAGTTTTTTTTTCTTTGATTGAAATATTTTTTTAATTTTAAAATTTTAGACCTCTCAATATTCTGACTGTCTTTCAATGGATATGATTGATACGAATAGTTTTCCACCAAATAAATCCTTATCACCAATTAATAATTCTTATCCAGTACCACCACAATCAACAACAACACATATGGAAGCTAATTCAATGATGATGTATCCTCAACAAACACCATCACATATTCAACATCATCAAGCACAAAATCAAATGTCTAATTTATTTTATCGTCAAACACCTCAACCTCCACAACAAACAATGTATAATAACTTTATTCAACCACCACCAGCAAATCAATTGGCTTCTGGTTATTATTCAATGCCACAACAACAACAACAACAACAACAACAACAACAACAACAACAACAACAACAACAACAACAACAACAACAATCACCACAACAACGAATACCAACATCTAATCATCCATCACAATTAAATAAACGACAACCATTAATTCATCAACAACGAACATCCCACCAAAATAATTCACCACTTCAATTACACATGTCGATGAATGTTACTTTGCCACATGTAAAATAAACGAAAAAAAAAATATTTTTTTTGTTACAATAAAATATCGATTGTTTTTAGATGACACCAAATCAACAACAATCACAGCAGACACAGCAACAGCAACATCGACGTATGTTCTTTGAAAAATCTATTAGTTCGAAAAAAAACAACATATTTTCTTTTATAGCTATGATGAATACATACAACGATTTAATGATGCCTAATGGTAATGGTTCAACATTACAGCAAGATTTTCATCGACTTTCACCATCATTATTAAATAATAACCCACTTGATCTTCCATATAATCATGATATTTTTATGTCACCATCACCATCAGGGCCACCACCCCCACAACAATTAACACAAAATCGTCATATGACTGTAATGCAAACACAGCAACAACCATCTGTTCCTCCTCCTCCTCCTCCTTCACAAGCCACTATCCATCAGGTAAAATTCTAAAATAAAAATTATTCTGAAAAAAGAAATTTTCTAATTTTAAATATTCTTTCAATTTCAAAAATCCCTTTAAAACTATCATCATGACGCTGTTGAGTCCAACAATTTTGAACTTATCTTCTTAGCAATTAACCTATATCAATGGGAAAATCTCATTAGGAATATCAGAATACGGTTCGACTGGCTTGGAAAAAGCTTAATAAATCGAATCAAGGTCTGCGTCCAAAAATTTTCGACTCGACATGTTCTACAATTCATTCTATCTCTGTATGATGTCTAACAAGGGCGCTTTAATATTTTTTTTTTCTGTCCTTCTATCCAAGGCACGCTTAAGTATATGTAAACTTGACATATTTTTGTGAACGATATCTTGATGATTCTATTCAAAAGAAAATGTACAAAGAACATTCGAGTACACTTGACACACAAACATAAATATTTTACTTTCGTTTCTCTTTAAATTAAATGTCAAAATAAGAAAAATACTACGAGAGATTGAACTAACATTTCTTTTGTAAGTACTTTAATTGAATAAAAGTATATCGTTTTTTTAATTGTCTCTTGAATAGTGAAAAAAAAACTAACGTTATGATTTTAGTGAAATAATGAACATTTATTGATATTAAGAAGAATTGAAAAGGATGCTTAAGTTATTTATTGATGATTTTTATATGTTGAAATTTGAATTTTGATTAATATGCATAGAAAAAAATTTCTAAAGATGAAACATTTTCAATTAAACAATCGCTTTCTTAATAAAAACTAAGGAATTATGGTTTATCGATCATGCTAATTTCGAATATGACTATGAAAATTATCTTAGATCTTTCTACGTTGATTTTCTAGAGTAATAAATATTGTGCTGATATTGGTTTCTATCTTCTCAGATTATACAACATATCAAAGTATCTTTAAATCAATAAACTTTTATATTCTCTGAAAAAGTGTGTTTTAAGTAAAATAATATCAATCTCAAGGTCTTCACATTGAAATATTAATATGTATCTATTGTATGACTTCAAACGGTTGTATTGTCCGCAAAAAAAATGATGTCAGACAGAAAAAGTTATTGTTGCTTATGCAACTCAATAAAAAAAAAAAAACATTTTTAACGAAATGTTTCTTTGTCTTTAAATGAAATATATAAAGGCCTAAAGGAATTTTTCATGGTCATATCTGGTATTAGACGATGGATAATGGAGGAAAGAAAAAACTGAATGATAATATGAAAAGATTTCCATGAAAGCTCACATATACTCATGAAGAAATATTTCTAACTGAAACACTTTACTTTTTTTTTTCATAAGTAGGACTCTCTAAGATTAGAAAAAGTCATAAAGAATTTGTTCTCTTAGCGTTTGATAACTATTCTACTTTAATTTTGATCTGAAATTCTACCAATAAATAGCTTCTATAGCTGTTAGAATGCTTAACGCACGATCATATTTCTGAAGAACGAAGTATTCGTTTTAGATGAAACTTTTAAAACATTCTAAGAGCCTTGAAGTCTATTTATTAACAAAACCTTCAGTAAAACAGTCATAGCTCCATATGGAACGAATCTTTTAATGCTTTTTCTATTCATAAAGAGTCCTATTAATAGAAAAAAAAATATGAAATTAAACAAAGAGGTTTCAATTCGGAATGCAACTGCGTCAGTTTGATTGGACTTTGAAAGCAATTTATGAAAGTCATGAATGAAATAACACATTAATTTCGAACTTAATTTCATGGCTTCCAAAACCTTGAAAATAGAAAAAAAAACAAATATTATCATTCGACAGAAAATGTTCATATAATTATATCTCAAATCATGACATTCAACATCAAATTTTTTTTCTTGCGCTATCATCAATATCTAAACAAGTGAACTTAATTTTTTCTATTACATGTCTTGATAAAAACGAAGGTCAATACTTTAGGGCTATTTGCTATTTCTCGATATCAATCATTTTAATTGTCTCAATAAATTAGCAAAACGAATAAAAAAAGAAGTTCGAGTCTTACCTTTCACTACATCATTTTATGAATATTGTCATTGAATCTATAAAAAAATAAATAAATAAATGTATGTTTTTTATATCTTTTTAGTTAGAATTTTTTTAAAAGACGTCCTTGATAAAAACAAAAGTGACTAATGTCATGTTTTTTATCAGTACAGGAAAAAAAAAACTATTATCTAATGTAAAATTATAGTAATAGAAATTTTCAATGAATATATTTATCGAATGTTGCATTCTTACCTTTAATTGATCTAAGCAATTGAAAGATATAAGTAAATTTAAGTGATGCGAATCGAATTCAGTTCGATGTTTGAGTATAGGACGGAAGAAAAGAAATGGAACATAAAAATCCATTATATTGAAGAGAATATTATGTTTTTGTTTGTCAATCTTGAAAAAAAAAGAGAAAAAAATATATATCGTACGTACCCATTGTAATTTAAAGGCAAAAACTAGGTTGACATGTAAGAGAAAGTAACAAAAAATACAAAATATGTCGTGTTTATGAGGTTGCTAATATTTAGTTTTGATAACAACAAAATGGATACTACTCAAACTGATTTCTGTCTCAAAAACAATGCTTTATACTGATGTCTTTTGGATTTTTTTTCTTTTTTCAATCATCTGACATGTCAACATGGACTAACGAAAAATCATCGCATATTTATGTCGTTTATAAAACAGATATACTCATAGATGAATAATGAGAGTTAGTGAACGTGCTTATTCTCTTTTTTTTTCATTTCTATAGAATATAGATTGCTGAAAATAGATTCCAAGGACTTTTCTCGCTATGATCAAAGTTCGCTTTTTTTTTATCTGATTTAGTCGAGTGCATGTGACTTGACATTAGACAAGTAACAAAGAGAAAAAAAAGAATTTTAAATACATACCTACTAAATAAATGAAAAGGAATGCATATATTATATATACACTTATATGCATATGTTCTATCATGTTTTATTTGAATCATGACCTTACTTGTATTTCTGTAAAACTCAAGGCAAAAAGAAAATATGTGATGAAGGTCACTGCCATTGATCACAAGGTTATTTCATCACAATCGTTAGAGAAAAGCTAACTCTTACTGTGATGTACCGATCGAAGTGATCTAATTTAATATAATATGCATGTATGCAAAAAAACGAAGAAGAGAGAGAGAGAGAGTGAGAGAAAGAAAGAAAGAAAGAAAAAGATTCTTATTTCTTTTTTTTTCTTTTCTTTTCTCTTATGTCTCTGTTCAAGGTTTTATAGAAAGCAATGTTTCCCGTCATCTTGATAATCTCAAGGTCTTGTTACTTATTCGCACGAACTAAATTCTTCTAATAAATATCCTTGCTATCTCCTTCGTCTCTCAAAGATGAAATCTTATGTAAATTTGATTGATGCAAAAAAAAAATAGCTGCAAGAATTGTTATATGATTCCTGGTCTGTAACGGCGGAAGTGATGATTACATAATTATGAATGTTGATCGTATGTTCAATATTAATTCATCATAGTACATACATACATGTATATAATATATTCTCAAGAGAGAACGAGAAAATGAATGAATGAATGAAGAAGAGAAGAGGTCAAGGTGGTCGTTTGAACGAGAGCAAGAATTGAGGTTAATCAATTGCTCACATAATGTTTGCTTGCTACTATATTGACATCATGATAGATATCAAATAAAAAGAATCTAGGATATAGGTTAGTTAATATCCTTGAATTTCTATAGGTCACTCATCAATTTGCTAAAAGATATTTGTGATCGATTCAATCTGATAGAATAAAAGTTCATTCTTTTCTTCTTTCTTCTTCATTTTTTTTTCTTTGGTCTAATGATTGTATATATGACCAAGATTGAGTAATATATATATATATACATAGTGATTGACATAGAATGTGAATTGAGTACAAACTCCAATGCTTATTCACTAGCGGATGTCTCCAACTTGCTGTTTTCTCTTTCTCATTTATACTTTTGAGTTCAAGGCAACATTTCTTTTTTTTTTTTCTTCTTTGGTTCACATTGGACAAGAAAACCTTGACACCATCGAAATACGAACCTAAGTTAGCAGAAACGAGAGAGAGAGAGGAAGAGGGAGAGAAAAAAAAGATGATAATAGAGTGTTTCCATTGATTTCTTTTTCTTTTTTTTAGCCATATTCTAATATGAGTGTGGCTCTACCGGCGACCATGCAACAAAATTCACATAGTATGTTTAACTAGTTTATTGATGTATATACATATATACATATGTTTTATCGATGATTATTATCTAGATTCAAACAATCTCATGAATCCATCAATACCAAATTTAACACCTGCTGAATGTCGTCAATCCGAAGAATTGAATAATCAAATGATGAGTTGTTTAAGGTAAATAAAATTTATTGACGTTATGTGAAATCGATGTTGACTTTTTTGTTTTTTGATAGTTTTCCAGCAAGTAGATCTACAAGTGAATTTGTACGTAAACAATTACAAAATACAATTCATGGACGACAAAAACCAGCCGGTGGAAAAGATATGTCAGGAATAACAGCACAGAAAAGTATGTTTAATAAAATAAAAAATTTCAAATAAACAACTTAATTTATTTTTTTTTTTATTCAGTGATCAATTCGCCAAGTCTTGATTCAAGTAAGTTTAGAAAAAAAGAAAAATTTTCTTTTTGAATTTAACAAAATAATAATTCACTTTGTTTAGATCAAAAAGGGGCTTATTTTCGAAATAAATTATCATCTCAATTGTCTTCTCCATCCTTACAAGCAGCTATAAGATCACAACAACAACAACAATAAAGACAAGAAAACTAACAATGTGGTCTTCAAAACAAAAACGACATGATGCTTTTCTTTTTTTTTCTTGTTTGTTTCTTGTTTTTCTTTTCGTTTACGTTTGTTTGTTGGTAGTCGTAGTATAATTTACATACTATGTATGGGGAATGGATGAGATTAAAAAAAAAAAGGAAAGATTTATTCGTTTTGTTTGTTCTTTTTTCTTTCATTTGAACATTTTTTTTGTTTCTTTGCTCATATCTTTTTTTTTTTGTTTAATACACTTTCTTTTTTAGTTATCGTCCGTATTTTTTTGTTCGGTTCTTTTTCGACACATTTTGTGTGTACTGTATGTATGTTTGAAAAGGTGATGCTGGCAGTTCGACATATGTAAAAAAAACGATAGATGTATGCGTGTGTGTTTATGTATGATTGTATGTACGTACGCAGACAAACAAACCTATTCTTTTCTGCTAATTTTTAAATATAATTTTTAGTGGATACGGCCGTAAGTCGTGCTATTTTCTGTCTAATATTAGAATTATTGAAATGTTCAAGGTTTGCATATTATGTAGCTTTTGCAAGGAATTAATACAAGTTAGCCAATGTGTATATAGAATTTAGTCTAGTATTGTGCAAGTCAAGTCACCATTCGTAATCTAAATTTTGGTAGAAAAGTGAAATGTGTGAGTGCAGCTGTGTAATATAGTCGTTGGATCCGAAATTTTCTGGTCTGAATCCAGACCTAGTCGAACCGTACTTTGATACTCTCAATAAAACTTTATAATCAGCATTGGATATGTGCTCGGAAGATACGAACTAGTTTTTTTTTATTTTTGGTCAAGTCCGATTTCGATACCAACCCTGCGGACTCTAGTGTGTGGCTGTGAATCTATGTGTGCGTGAAGGACGAGCAACACTACACCTATCTGATACACTGAAACAGAAAGAAAAATAGTCAATAACATGACAAAATTGAACAAACATCTTGTATAATCGATATAATATTTATTGCATTGCAGCATCTGCTCTTCTCCATGGCTTATGTTCAGTTGTGGCAGAAAAGGTTATGATTACTCATGAGATCTAAATCAACGATTAATTGTGAGATTAAATCATGTTTAAATCACTAAAAAAACGATTTTTCATGTGACATTTACAATGATTAGACCTAGTCGTAATGCTTGGCTATAGGAATACAATTATGTTTCGACGGTTATACGATTGCCTTCTTATCATCGTGCCCATAAAAGTGTTTCATGAATGAGGAGAGAGATAATTTTGTTCTTCGCCATGTGCAATAAATTAAAACAAAATTCTCTTTTTATAAATAAATAAATAAATAAATACTTACTGTTGAAGTTTGTTGCTAAACTGCCAACTAGACATCAAAACTGAGCCGAATTTGACGTTATAGATATTCAATATGAACATTACTTAACGTTGGTAAACCAAAATATAAAAAACTTTTTTGCTTACCTTTCTCTGTCGTTTTTAATAGTAAACATTTGATTCAAATTTATTTGTTTGATTTTTTAAAAAGAAAATATTCAAATGTTTTCATCACAATTAGCGATTAAAGTAGAGAGATTTCACCAGTGTTTCTGAATCGAATCAAGTTATGTTTCCGTTTTTTGTTCATGTTTATAAAAAACAAAAAATTTTTTTAAACAACAAGGTTTTCATAACATGATTTCTTTTGTACCTTGTTTTAATGCACAAAAACCAGAGGTGCAGAATCTTCCAAAAATCCAAAAATTTCTCCCCATGCAAAAAAGTTTTTTAAAAAATTTCCTCACTGTATTTTATTTTGGCCAGCGGGTTTTTCCAAAATTTCCCTTTTTTTTGATTTTTTAAAAAAATCCCCCCCCCCCCCCCCCCGCCCGGGGGCGCATGAGGAAGATTCTGCACCTCTGACAAATACAAAATAAGAACAGTTTGACATAGAATACAATGAAACAATCACTCTAGTCTTATCAACAAGGTAACTATAGTAAAATCAAATGTTCTATTACAGTTCATAAGCAGCCAGTAAAAAAAGTTTTATTGTACTTTAAATATTAACTTATTAAAAATTTAAACAAACAGTCGCATTCAAAAATTGCTATGAGAAAACATACGTTCAACGGGCATGTGTGTAGCATGTACACGCATGATTTTGTAGCAATTACATTAAAAGGTCTACATGAATGTGTACACATACAGATCGAACATGTATATGAAGATGTCAAGTTGTACTTCAACATAGAATATACTATTAATAATAGTAATTTTATTTAGTAGTGTGTATATTAAACTTTCGTAATTAACTAATTTTAAAATATACTTTTTTTAAATGTCATAATGATGTAATGTTGATAGATCTATAAAAGTAATTATGACAATAATTAATGAATATAAAGAAATATTCTTTTTTACAGTTGCATTGTTTGTTTGTCTGTGTCAACATCAACTAAGAGAAAAATGAAATGATTTTTAGTTGACAACATCAATCATGGATTTTTATGAAAAGCATTCTACCCGAATAAGTTTTATTTTAAAGATAGTTTATCAATCATATGACATGTAATCGTGTCATCATACATTGTCATAGAATTTTTGATAGAAAATAAACTAATTCTAGACATTATTTTCTAATGAAAAATCAATTTAAAATGATTAATTAGTTTTGAATTAATAAAAACTAAAAGAAAAATTCTAAATGATTTAAGAATATTATGCATGTTTCCTATTGTAGATAACAAAACCTTGACAATATAATGAGATCTTTTCCTTTTTTGCAATAAACAACAAATATCGATGAGGACAGATTCACACCTCACCTTGAATGTTTCTATTTTCGATATTTTCTTTTTTCGAAGTGTTTCATTAACCCTGTAATTTTCATTTGTGAACATGTATGGTAATTATCAAGATCATGATCAAAGTTTCAGGTATAAATAGTTTTACACTGTATATTACTAAGAATAATTGCAATTTCATTTACAGATATTAATGAGAAAAATAATAACTTATGTGCACATATAATTACTTGTTATCTAATGTCGTTTTCAAAAAGCAACGACTGTAGCAACTATTTGAATAACTTTAGAGTGGAAAGAGTCAGTGAGCTGCGGTTTTCACCGTTCGAAAGAGATGAAACCGGAGCGTCGTTTTGTCCAATACTGTGTAAGATGAAATCGTTTTAAAATCAATTATTTCTCCAAAACATTTCAAAAACTGCATGAAAACTGTCTGTCATTACGATGAATTTTGGTTTTGATATGTGATTTAGATAAAGGGACTTCAGATCTATAGTTTAAGATATAAGGCGAATGATTATATTCACATATTCTAATGTTAAGTAAATAAAATTCTCTATTTACTCGCTCGAAAAATATGAATTTCTCGTAATTTTTAAGCAAATTTTATCTCAACGGCAGATCATTTTTTCTGCATTTTTTCGATATTTTATAAAACCGGTTGATTTTAAAATGATTCCATCTTATACACTATTGGAGAAGAAGACATTGTGATGCCACTTCTTTCAAATGGTGAAAATTGCCGGTTCCTATCTCTTTTCATTCTAGAGTTCTTCAAAAAACAATCACACCTATTGCTTTTTGAAAACGACAATAGATATATCATACATAGCGAATAGAGATGTGCAAGGTTGTTGTTATACAAGCGTAAGAATTTTGACAATTTCACAGTCACAGTATGTTTTTCAAACTTTTATTTTATATTAAAAAAGTATACTGTTTAGTTTCTTCCATAAACATTAACGAAAAAAAAAAAAAGAAAATCATCTAAAATGTCACAAAAAGGCTAATGATTTCCGGTTCACTTGGTATTGGGCTGCTTCCCAAAACACGATAAATGTTGCTAAATATATATTTGCTTGTTGTTGATAATGCTGAAATAGAACGCAGTGTTGTTATCAAACGCCATAATTTTGAATGCATACATGAATGCTTTTTTCATCATTAAAAATGAATTCTTTAAGTAATACAATAGCACTTTCCACTGCTATGATTTATTCTTAGATAGAATAAATTGTTCAAGTTTTCACTCGTATGCTTTTATATCAATTAGTCGTTTGAAAACGTAAATCATATTTTGAAACATGGTTATATCATTCCGAGTCAGATCCGCGTATAGGATTATACCGGATACCTGAACTGACTTTGATTAATGATATGAATTTTCAATGAAAAACAAACTAGAACACCTCGTATTTATTTCAAGCATACTTTTAATTTTACAAATTGATATTTCGTTCATATGAATCGTCTTTATTGATTGCATCACTATATTAAATTTAAATCGTTTGTTAAATTAATCATATTTGATTGAAGATTTTTTTTTTATCCTACGATAAATCATTATTTCAGAAGACAGAAATGAACCGATTGCAGAAAAAAAATTTCCATATTTATTTTCAATACAAATAAATTTTGATTTAAAATATAAATGAAAAATAATTGTTTATTAAACAAAAATGGTTGTTATGATTACAGAAATATAAAAATAAATGAATAAATTACAATGACACTTACATAATAATACACGTCAAATCTAATAAATTATTATTTAGCTACAATTATAGGAATAGTAAAAAAATAACATCAATGTATCACTAGAAAACAAATAATATTCAAATTCTAATATAAGTATCGAATTCGGTTTTTATATATCAATCGATTAGCATAAAGACGTTTCCAATAGATATTAAATGTTTGAAATATATCGATCTCTGTAATTGAAGATGATTGTTCATATTGATAATGTAATGAAGAAGCACATGCATATGCTTTTGGTTTATGAAAAAATAAATCACAATTATCCTTTGTTTCAAAACTTATTTTAAAACTTAAACTTTGTCGTCGAATATTCATATATTCAGGTAAAATACCCGTTACATAAGCATCAGACATATGAAATAATTTTTCATGTCGAAAAAATGCACAAAGAAGTTTTAAACGTGCATTTCGATTAATAATATAACCAAAACCACTCATATAATCAGGATAATATGTACATGGATATTCATCATCAGTTACAATATAACGAGCTCTATCTAATTTTGGATTATTTGTATAACGAATTACTGGTGCATTTTTAAATTTAACACCATAAATAATTGCCAATGAATCAAAACTTGACATATGTTTACATTCAATTTCAGATTGATTGATTATTATATTAGTAGTAATATTATTTAAAAGATTGGCCAATAAAAATATATTAAGAAAAATATCATCATCAGTTTTGATTGTCATTAAAGCTTGTGAACAAAATGTTTCTGTCCAATCTAATATAGCCATATCACGATATGTAGATAATGTATAATGTTGTGGTAAACGAACTTGAACAATATCATTATAAATTGATTGTTCGAGCTCAATACTTAATAGATGAGATTCATCAATATCAATGAAAAAAAGAAGTTTAAGACGAAGATGAGCAAATTCTTGTATAAAATTTACATGTTTTAAATTACCCCAAGTACGACGAATAGCATTACGTGCACCAAAATTAGTTGATTTTGATACAACAAATATAACAGCATGAGGTTTAATTGATGAACAAAAATTTTCATTAGGTAATTCATATGAAAAAGATGGTCGAATTGGTTCACGTGCAAATAATTGTTCAGGTCTAAATAAAAGGAAAGAATTGTTTTTTTTTCTCTTTGGAAATTTTATACGAGTCTTATATGAATTTAAGATCAATCTAATAAACTTATACTCTGATCTATTTTTTAGTTGTTGAAGAAACTTACGAGAGAAATCCCTCAACTAATTAATCTCTTTTGAGGATGTGAGTGTTAATTGCAAGAATTTTTGCAGAAAATCAAAACTATTTTGAGAATTTGGAAAGATACTTTTAGGGTTTTAAAAGTTCAGATATAACGTCTATCTCAATCTTTTAAGATTTTCAGCTCAAAACTTTGAAAACTAAGACTATGTTTTTATCTAAACTTACTAATTAAAGTTTCAATTTTTTGAGAAATCAATTGATTAAGTATGGAAATCTTCTATTTCAATATGGAGGAGGTTTACTAGAAATGACTGAATAATCGAAGCGGACATCCTATTTTGAATATTCGATTAGCGAAGTATCTATAAGCGAAATTCTAATCTATGAAGAACTAAATGATAAATTAAATCTTAAGAACTAGTAGGAAATACCTTTCATTATACATATAATGTTGCCGTATAATAGTTTGATCACAATGTTGTGGTCGATCTTTATCCTGATCAGATACATTTGTTTGCCATTTAAAACTTTGCAAGTTAATTAATAAAATAAGTAAAGCTGATACACAAAAAAGAATATATAAATAACCACAACAATATCGTCGTCTTCGAGTATTCAATCTGACACATTTTCTAATCAATAATTTAAAACAACAATTTTCCATTAGTCAATAATCTTTATAAAAGACAGTCACAATAGTATCCAAAAACTGAGAAATAGCCATGTCTAAACTAATAGCATACTATCAATAGTGTTAGAATAAATTCTCAATGTAAATTAAAAACTTGTCAATAGTTTTCTGACATTTTCATCATTTGTAATTGAGAACGCGATATTTTTTTCAGTAGATTTTTCATTCACATAATTATCTTTACTGTTATAAATATGGCAACGAAAAATTTTATGAATCATATGTTATTTTAATTGTAGTAACGCTAAAAGTATCGAAAAATTACAAAGAAATAGCTATTTCTCAGTTCTTGAACACAACATTCAATAGTATATCATTTTTACTTTTTTCCATTTATTTGTGATAGAAAAACTTTCAGATGATATTTTATTTCAATGGTAAATATCTGTTTAAAACAGAAGTAAACATGTGAATATATATCTTGTTAATAAAAAGAAAAAAGAACATTACGTTTAGTGTTTCATACCCCATGTTGACCAATTTCAAATATCAGAACTCTTCTTACAGCGCATAACTTAATAGACTATGAATATGAAAATACACATACATGATGACTTGAATATTTTCGTTTGCATCTATCATTATTTGAAGCAATGAAGCGAAACATTAAATTACGCGAAGTAAATGTATATTTATAATGGCCATGAGGTTGACATATTAACGAAGTAAAAAGATTTATTATAGATTCATAAAAAGCTCATAGAACAAAGAGTAACGCTTGACTGAATGGTCAATACTATTGATATACTATGTCGCCTTGTACAAACAATTGTTCGCGATATGAAATGTATTCATGTATATTTGGTGCAATCATATTATGATTGTCTGTACAATGAAACCTTTCTACTATAAATATCGTCCGAACTATTTCAAAATGTGCATTATACGGAAATATTTACTTTAGCGAGTTAAAACATGGTTGTCTGTAAAATGAAGAAAAAATTTCAGAAATTTCACTTCTATATATCCGTGTTGGATACAGCTTCAAATTATTTGTTCTCTTGTACATCTAAATGCTTTGAATTGAAAAAATTTTTCAAGTATAACACAAAACTTAACTATTTTTAACAAACTCTGTAATTTTTATATTTTATTTTTGAACTAACTCTTTTTTCACTTTGGTGTATAACACTAATTTTTATACATTGACGTCTTTTAATTTTCATTTAATATTTTCATTCTCTTTTGTTTCATAATCATTTAAGTATTTTTTTTTACGTTTTAAAATAAGTATCAAGTTGCTGAGTAATATATTATTTTTTCATCTAATTTACACTATGGCTAGGTGTTGTCATTTTCATTACCTTGAATAATTACTATCTTTTCTAATGCAGTATGGTTGTGTCGTAAGGTTATTCGTCACGTTGGATGTACAACAGATATATCATACACGAAATATGTTAATTCGTATGCATACAAAACAGATGACAGAACAGAAAAAAAAAATGTCAAAAAATAAGTTTGTATCAAAGCAGTTATAATCACAAAAGAGACCGCAAAAAAAATGTTCACTAATAGAGGTTTTATTATAATAGTATAATCAGTTTAGAATTATAATGATTCTTACAGATAAAGTCGCAATTTATTATCGACTATTTTATAAAACAAAATTGTTTAAAAAATAATATTGTAAAGTTTTTTCTTGTGTATCTCGGCGGCTAAAAAAATCCTTTTAATTGCTCTTCGATTAATAATATTGAAAACGAACGTCTTTGAAGAATAAGTTATATAGAAAGTTAAATCATGAATACTCTAATTTGTGTCAACTTATAAGTCATTTCTTGACATGAATATCATTGTCTCCTGCAATGGTAATAATATGAAAAATACTGATGTTAATAGCTAGTGAATACTAGTTTTTATGTTTGACCATCTTGTATAAAATTCAATCAAACACAAACGTATCCTATGCTACTGAAAATTTTTCAGTTATCATAAAAAAAGTTTTATTAGACGTTTAAATTTTGTAGCTAATATATATTTAATGTTGAGTACGTAAAATAGAGGTTCAAACTATTTTTTAATGGTATCAATACAGATAATCTACTACATTTTATTCAGTCTTTTTATTAAATTTATTATTCAGCTTGAACTAGATAGCGAAAACACTTCATTTCAAGTATATACTCAAGAATCCTGAGAAATTTATATATATACTTAACTATACATGTGCCAGTAAACATGAAAGTATAGCAACAAACTCGGTTTCTTTCATATATTCCTTTCATCAGTTGAGAAGACTACTATATTTGAATGTTTAAAATATGTAATACGTAACCCATAAAGAATTATACTGTTAATATTTTTAAATTTTCTCCTCTATTATTTCTTTAATTGAAACGTTTGTGTTAATCAAAAGATAGTATTTGAAATGTCATACAAAATAATATCCTTTATTATAGACACGAATACAGTTTCCCCTAATGTTTTTGAATTAAATGTAATTATTCAAATAAATCATTATACAGAGGTCACTGAGTTTAACTTGGAACAATAATAGGACTTCTGAAACAGATTTCTAGACGAATATGAGCAATTTTTACTTGGATTTGATGTCAAATTCATTTACGTGCCTATCCAAGTCTTGTAGCTTTGTCGCCTATACTCGACATGTATATGTTGTCATTACAGAATAAGCACAGACAATTGATACACTTAGAAATCACTTATAAAAATTCATCTATCTCTTTTACATTGAAAAAACGAATTGTTTGTTTTAATCATTTTGACAACTAATATTGTGTCATAAATTGTGAATGCATACATGGAGTTTCGTTCCAATAATTATCATATTATTTCTGTTATAAAATCATGTCAAGATAACAATCTGGTAAACATCAATCATTAATAACTATATTAACCTATTCAATTATGTATGATGGAAAATAACATCAAAACGAAGGATGTAATTGTGATAGTAAATAACCGATTCCTTGTTATCATTGCATCTCTAATCGAAATACAGTATCTACAAAGATAGTCAATGTTTGATATTGGCATAATTATTCAGTATTCACTAAATGAAAAGAACGAAATTTTTGTTTTCATTATTCGTCCAACAACTTATAAATGACAGAAATTATTAGCATCAAACTCTAACTTTTCTTATAGAGATAAAGATGTCTACGATGAAAAGCTCGATAGTACTTTTGAATGGGATTTTTATAATGATGATGACTACGGTCGAAATTTTATGAGAAATCTAATTATCTGATACCTTAATATTTTTTCTTCGAAAAAAAACACTATGTAAAACATTATCATCATCAATATATAAATCTTTTCCAATAGATGTCCCTCACATTCAAACAAACCTCTACATGTTTATTAATTTAACTCAATATGTAAATGGCTACTATTTATCATTGTTATTTTTCTTCCTACTTGCTCAATCTTTCAAGTATTTTTCATATTTTTTTTCGTTTTCATTTATTGTATAAGGTAATCATATTTTTCTAATATGAGCAATCGACCACGATCTGATGGTGATCATCGTTCAACACCACCGAATATTGATGTTATGTATTCTCTTAAAGTTGATAATTTAACATATCGTACACGTGTCGAAGATTTACGACGATGTTTTGAAAAATTTGGAAATATTGGTGATATCTATATTCCACGTGATCAATTTTCTCGATCAAGTCGTGGTTATGCTTTTATTCGGTTTGTTTTCTTATTTCATATTTATTTTCATCATTATTGTTTTTTGTTTTTCATAGTTATCTTAAAAAACGTGATGCTGAAGATGCACTAGACCGTATGGATGGTGCTGATCTTGATGGACGTGAAATACGTGTTCAATTTGCACGTTATGGTCGTGCATCAACAACAGATAGTCGTGATAAAACACACCGTCGCCGGTAGGATATTAAAAAAAGAAATACAACCATATCTACATGGTTACATAAAACTATATATATATACGAGTTTCCCATATTCCCATCCCACGAACAAAATTGATTATCTCTATTCACACAGGTATTCTCCTGCGCAAAGATGCTGTTTCCTGTATTTTGTTCGAGAATAAAATAAGATATTGGTTTATCCCGGTGGTTGCTGCATTTGACTAAACAGAGCGAGATTCCAGGCGGTTTAACAGATCAGATGTAAGATATCTATATATATATATGTGTGTCGTCGATAAGGCTTTTACAAGAATTGACAAACCTGCATTGGATTATTAAAAAAAAAAACTTTGACTTTAATGAATAGTTAGATGAAATATTTTAATTCTTTCTTAGAACACGTTCACGATCAAGATCTCGTCGACGTTCAAAACATCGATCACGTAGTGGTAGTTATCGACGGTTAGTTTAACTATCTTTAGATCCATTTTTATTTTTTTCTAATAATTTTTTTGTTTGTTTAGATCACGATCTCGATCAACATCACGGTACGATAAAAATTATTTTTGTTAGAAAATTATTAATTTTTATTTTTCTTGTTTTTTAGTTCGAAACGAAGTCATCGTCATGAAAATGGTGATCGTGATCATCGACGTTGATAAAATTACAAAATAAACTATTCAATTTTTTTTTTTTCTTTTTATAGTTACTTGACTATAAATATATATATATACACACTAATCATTGTGACTGATTTATAAATAAAAAAAAAAAAAAGAAAATCATAGTTCATATTTCAGATAAGATCTATTTTATTTTTATTATGGCTACAAATATTGATCAGGTGTGATAAAAATTTATAAGAAAAAGAAAAAAAAAACAGTTGTCAATGATGATTAAATTTTATTTAGCAAAGAAAATATCGTGAAGATGCAAATGCTGTAGAAAATTTTTCTAAAAAATATTATGATATATTAGATACACGAAGACATGTAAGATATTTGAAAATGAAATAAAAATAAAATAAATATTAAGTATATTATTTTAGAATGTAGATAAATTTTATCAAACACAAGCAAAATTAATTTGGAATGGAAATGAAATTAATGGTCAAAATGCAATAGGAAATTATTTAGTTTCATTACCACCAACAAAACATCATATTTATGCATTAGATTATTTTCCTATGAAAGGTAAAGAAAAAAAACAATAGTTCTTTATTTATTTATTTTTTTTTAATTTTGATTAGATCTTTTTCCTGATGAAGATACGACTTATCAAGTCTTTGTTAGTGGTGCTGTTATCTATGGTACACCAGAAAGTACAACAGTAACCAAAGAAAAACGTCTATTTTCACATATATTTGTCTTAACTGTTGATATTATAACATCAACATGGGTTATTGTTAATGAATGTTTTCGTTTTCATGAATAATATGAACATATATTTAACTCTATATATAAGAAATATATATCTGTTATTGTTATTACTATTTTTTTTGTTGTTACAAAAGATAACTGTTAAACAGGATAAAGAGATTTATTGAAAATAAATACAAAAAAAAACAAAAAGTTCTATTCTTCGCAAAGTTGTACAATCAAATATGGTATTAAGTATCTTGGTTAAGTATATGTCAAGAGACTTTTTTTTTTTTGAGAGATTATTTTTATAAGACTTAATAAAAATCACAGAATAATATCATGAATTCATTTTTATTGTTATGAATTGAAAAAAACCTATTGATTAAGTTAACAGTAGAAACATAACTCTTTCATTTTAAATGAGATAAAATTCTATCTGAAATAAGTTGTTTATTTTTTTTAAGGAAAATTTTTTTAATAAAATAATAATATGAAATACAATTATGCTTAGAATATATATATATATAAATAATACAAAATTCATATCTCTATGTCTAACTAAGATAGGCGATTCGATATTTATAGAAAATAAATGATAATGTTAGAAAATTTTATAATATAATATATTTTTATGCATTGATTATATTATCAAGATTTGTTTCGATTTCTTTAGGATCTTTAAAAACAGTCCATCGATGTTTTGGTATATCTTTAAATGCTTTTATATATCGTTCTTGACATGTTGGTAAACATTCAGGTGTTCGACAAGTATCTCGAATAAATATATGAGCAATATTTTCAGGAAATTCCTTGCATAATTGTGAATAAATTTCTGGATCAAGTTCGCCTAAAGCAAAAAAAAAAAAGCAATCATACAGTTCATAGATAATTATTATTACAATATTTTTAATCAAACCTGAATCTCCAACACAAATATATATTCTGAATGGATAAGCTTGAATTAATCCTGTAATTATTTCTCTTTTATATGATTCAGGTAGACTTAAAAATTTTAAACTCCATTCAAATTTTCTTAAATTCATTGTACCCATTGGATATTTATGTCTTTCCAAAAAACAACTCAGAGCTGGATATCTAAATAGGATTTTTCATTTTGTTTTGTTTACTTAAAAAATTTTAATATTTACAATTGCCATGGACTTCCACTAACATAATGAAATTGACAATTTTGTTCATACCATTTTTGATAAAGTTCATTCATACCTTCAACAGGTTTAAAATCACTATAAAATGTATGTTTTAATAATGATCGTTTACTAAGAACTTTTGAAATTTTTATTGTATCATCAATATCTGATATAATACTAATACCATATGTTGCAAGAACATATATAGGACATTTAAATGTTTTATAATTTTCTGATCTAATAGAATCTTTCGTAGATTCATCTATTCGAATTTCATATTCAAATTTTCGATCATTCGATTCAGGATGAAGTTTTTTTGCAAGTGATTGAATTTCATTATCAGATAATTCAATTTGTTGTTCAACAAAACCACTTTCATCTGATGGATGAAGTAAATGTTCAACATCATTAATAATAGATTTAGTTATAACTTCAACAGATCTTCCAACAAAAAATAAACCTAAACGACCAGGATTTTCATTTGGTTTACCAAAATCATTTTCTATATCAAAAATAATTTATATACATATATATATATATATATATGAATAACATAAAATAATTTTATTTTAACTTACCCAAAGCATTTTCATATACATCATCATTTCCATCGTCATCATCTGTTAATTCATCTTGTTTGTTTATATCTTTATTGTCTTCGTTCTCAAGAAGAACTTTGAAGCTTTTTCCTACATCATTTTTTTTATTATCTTTATTCATAGAATCATCTATTTTGTCTTCAGTTTTGCTACTTAGAATATTTGGTAATGATGATAAATAACCTTTGATTTTTTTGCCTTCAAATGGTAGATATAACCAAGCTTTGATATTTATTGACCAAGTTTGCTTTTCACGATCAAATATAGCTAAAGTTGGAAATGGTACAATAAGTGCTTCATCAGCATAGACATGTTGTGTTGACCATTGAGCAACATAACTTTTAGCCGATGCAAGTGCTGTAACGTATTTGCGTAAATAGGAAGGCATTTATTCAAAAAAAAAACAAAATCTGATCAAATAAACAGGTTACATGACTGATAGAAACGTTTTTTTTTTCTTTCTTTCTCGTGGAATCTATTCATCATATTTGCAACCAACGCAGAACAGGAAGAACGACAAACAAGCGGAGAAAAATAAATCAAGGAATTATTTTAAATGGTCTTTATTTATCTTATCAAGTCGTGCGCGCATTTCAGCACATGTTATTACTTTTCCAAAACCAAAAGATATTACATCAAGGGTTGATTGAATGGTGGTCCTGTACCATCGGATAAAAATATAACATCATAGTTTTGAACAAATGCTGAACGTGCTGTTGTTTCACAACAAAGTTGAGTTAGAACACCAGAAATAATAACTGTATTAATATTTTGTTCATCTAATAAAGATTTTAATCGTGTTCGATAAAATGCATCATAAGTTATTTTTTCATCAAGTATAACTTCATTTGATGCTACATCAAGATCAGATAAAAGTTGCCAATTGTGAGAACCTTTTCTTATTGATCCTGATGCACTCCACCAACGAACTAAAACCGATGTTTTTTCTTCACTTTCAGGATCAGGATGACCATGTTGAGTGAAAATAACTGGTATACCAGCACGACGTGCACTAGCTATAGTAGCATTTACTTCAGCAAGAATAGACTTTGCTGCATATGCAAATTGATTTTGCATATCAATGACTATTAGAGCCAATTTAGATGAGTTTAAACCACCAGGCATGGCTATAGATACAGAGAAAAATTAAGGATATAAATAGTAGCAATATAATTTTGTTTATGTCCAAGAAAAATAGAACATAAACCAATGAGAAAGTCGAATTGTCGCTATGAGTTAAGAATCCGATTTTGTCAGAGAAGAAGCTCATAGAGAAGAATAACTTTAACATGCAAATTTTTGCGATGGAAAATAAGGCTTTTTCATTACAGCAAATATATCATTTTCTAATCCATAAATATCAAACTCAACGAAGGAACGTCCTCAAACTTCTTATACTTATCGATCGAAACTATATTCCCAAGTAAGAGGCTACGGGATCTAGTGTCGCAATCTAAGCGAGTTCGATTATCTAAGCCATTGTGTTATTGAAATGTAGAATTTTTACAGCAATTTTTGAATAGAAAACTGTAGTCGCTCTAAATTCACCATGAAAATCGCATATGAAATTTAGACTTGCAATCTTACACAAATGAAGTATTTAATGAAAGTAGCTCATTGTGAAAATTGCTCTGATTTTTAGATTTTCTAACCAAAACAATTTCTGATAAAAGAGTCTCTGACCTGAGAATGTAGTTTTGATCAAAAAATGATCAGAAATTTGAAGACGCTCTCTCATAACATTTCTCTTAATTTCATCACACAAAGTCTAAGATAATAATTTCAATGCTACAATAAATTTTCAATATCGATTTTGTTTTTCACATAACTAAAGTAATATGCATATTTCTATTTGAATGAATAATAGTCAACAAAGTATTTTAAATTAATCATAAAGCATTTATTAAAATAAATGAATACGGTGAACACATGTGCGTGATAAGTTTTGAATTCTATATCTTTTCATTATTGTATTCAAACGTTGGCACTATAGAAATGAAAGAGACAGTGATATAATAATGATACGCGAGAAGAATCAAGATTTAATAATAGAACTAACTTTTTACTACCTTTTCAGACAAGGGATCATTTATCGATTGCATGTATTCGACATAGTTGAAATTCAGACTCTGTCGTCTTGAAAGTTAATAGATTCTGAATGATCAAATAACTTTTCCTATACAATACATTCAACATTGTTTAATCATTTATTTTTTAGGAAAGATTTTCTCTATTTCACTCAATGACATAATAGATTTCTCATGTTGCACAGTTCGAATCATATAGCAATGATAACCAATATATAGTTTGTTCTCGTATGTAAATAATGCAAATTTCTTAGATTTATCAACAAATATATTTATTTAATTTCTTTTCTAAAAGCTCAAGGTATCGAAATTAGAGAAAAAGAAAACATTTTAACAAATAAATAGATAATAAACAAAGTAATCTGAGAAAAAATGATGATAGCATAGACGAAGACGAATGATTCAATACAATTCGATAGCCATTTAAATTAACAAGCTGTATATCATCATCTAATGTCACATTATATTTCGTCATTGGTTCAAATGATTTAATATTTTTAAAACGATTTTGAATAATATGAAGTGCACGAGTAATACGCATTGAACGAATTAAAAATAAATTTGATTTACGATCTAGAAAATAATCAATTAAACATAAAAAAATAAAAATAAAACAAAATTTACGACAAAGACCAATCGGTTGAATATCACACATAAATAAACCATTATAACAAATACATAGAACACAATCAATTTCCATGGTTGTCATTGATGAAAATGTACCACACTGTTCATTAAGAGATACTTCACAATATCTTCCAGAAAATCCTCTTAAAAAAAATGAGATACTCTAATATATAAAATGTATCGATGATTTTTATTTTTAAATTTACTTTGGACATATACAAAATGATGAAAGAAAACATTGACCACCATTTTTACATCCAGCATTACATGGTTCTTCCTCAGTAACATAATCTAAATAAATACATATAAAATCGTTATGTAATAAACAATTATATTTACCTTCAGAATCATCTTGAAGATAAAAAGCTCCTATGGATCTAAAACAAATTTTTTTTTTAAATATACTTCAAAAGAAAACAAAAGCAAATTTTTTTTCTCATACCTAAATAATAAGATGAACAAAAAATAAAATCTATGCATAACTGTATGTTATTCAAACAATTGAACATGATTTATATATATATATTCAATGTGTGATTTATGATAAACACAATACCGACATTGACTTAGAAGTTAAAACATGCAATACGCGTCCAAGCGAACAAGGAATACGTTTGTTTCTTTTCTACTGTCAATTGTATTGTAATTAACAAGTTTGTGACTATTCGTTTTTTTTTTTATGTAATTGAATTTTTTTTTTTCGTCTTCACACCAAATGTTCTCTTTTCTTACGTCAATGTCCAACAGTTATAATTAATGAGTAGATCGAATAACATCACCTTCTGCTCATTATATGCGCACGAGTTAATGACATAAGAGAAAAGAAAAAAAATATATATATATATGCACAGTAGGAGTTAGTAGATATTAATAATTGAAACAAAATTGCTCAAAATTCATTTCTGCTAATATTTGATTCTAAGGCTCAATTTCTGTTTTTTAATAATACTGATTAAAATAAGCAGATTCAACCCGTCAAAAATAAAATTAGTTTTTTTTTCATATATTCCATCAACTTCCGCTTGAAAAATATGCATTCCTAATCACACACATCCCAGAATTGTCGAAAAAGCTTTTTTTGTTGCCGGTTATTTTGTGTTTATTTGCATGCACATGCGAAACTGCGATGTCTGGTAGAGTTTTTTTTTATCACTATTTACAAAAAGCACTTAAGAATTTAAAAAGAAGGGGCATTGCAGACTGATATGCTCTTTCAAACAAAGGTTGTTAATGCTATTTATGCGATATAAAAATATGAAATACGATGCAGCTGTTGTTGGTTATCGTAGCGAGATTGTTTTATTCTATCGATCTTATGTTACATTTCTTCACTATCCATTTAGTTAATCCGCCTGAAATGTAATAAGGAAGTAGCTCATGTATTATAACGAGACATCATTGGTATACGGCCTTTAATTATATATCAACAATATCTGTTATGGTCTGTGATGTAGTAATTATCATTGAATTTAAATTTACAAAAAAACACATCGATTTATTGTAAATGATTTGTTAAGTGAGAAATTCTATGGATTTTATTGTAAAATTACAAGGAAACATACCCAACAGTCGAATAGACAAAGGTCTGATATATTTGATAGAAAAGGAAAAATCATATTCACTTAAGAAAGTTCGAGCAATCTTGAGATACTGTTCATTTATAAGTCTGTTATGTAATATAGAAGTGCATTCTATTTGATGAGTATGAAATAATATTGTGAACTATTATGTAAAGATGTTCGATAAACTCCGTTACTTTAGAATTTTTGGTCACGATCATTTTTGAAATAGAATATGAGAAAAGTGGGCGAGTCAGTTCGTTCGATATACACTACAGTTTATAGGTCTCACTTTCTTGGAATAATGCAAAACAAAACGATTTTCTCACACCTATGTGACAACCAAATCTTTGTCTATGCACGTCATGGGCTCGAACGACATTCGTCGACAGTTTCACATTCTCTCTCGTTATCAATTTTGAATAATATGATTGCAATAATTGGAAGAAGCCGTTCTTATGAAATAAATATTGAAAAATCTTAGACTAAAATCAAGAAACAAGTCAATACTTTGCGATAAAATACAAAGACAATGGTACCAATATTATCATTAACAATCAAGTCTATATAAATCATTCTGAATAATCTTGGATGCATTAGTAAAACATAACATATGCTGATATCTTGTGCTCTACAGAGCTTTAGGATTGTGGTAAATCTGGTTTAATACACAAGGACTTATTTCTTTGTTATTATGTTTACTAGACAATATCGTCTTTTGATCAATTACTAATAGTTATTATTGTAGCTTAATAACTTCAACTAATCGTTTTAAGTTATACATTCAATTTCCATTCAAATACACGTAGTAAATATTGTTAAAACTGCTTGACAAAGTATTCGATCGTTATATAATCTGTTTATTTATTTTTTTCGAGATATATTTTTACAGAATTTATTGTATTACTGATAACCACATCATTTTTAGTTGTCATGTCACTTGTAATAATAATAAGAAAAATGGAGATACAAAGTACAAGAACAAACTGTCTTTTTTTATTTGGATTATTTTTGACGTAATAAATCAGATTGTCAAGTAAAAGAAAGACAATGCTTTTATTAAATTTTTCATAAGTTATAGTAAATATCGAAACCGTACTGTTCTTCATAGTAAACAATATGCTTGATTAAATTTTTTTTATTTTTGTCTAATATTCGTCTAATCGATATGATTTAGACTTAAATCGTTTACTTCATATGAAACAATAATTATTGAAAAAAAAACCATATGAGAGAAAAATAGTTTATTTTTTTCATAGGCTTAGTTTCTATTGATTAGTATTGGTTGGAAGATGGATTCCTAGCCCTGTTTTTTTTCTTTTCTATACTTCAGTACATATAATATGTATTTATGAAGATGATAATAACAACAGCGGAAGCAGCAAAAAAATAGAGCAATATAAGGAACGTATTTTACATTATCACTACGCCGACAACCAATGCATATATGGTGATAGCAAATAGCAAAAAAAAAGAAAGACACATATATTATTATTGCTGTGAGTCGTAGAAGGAAAAACCACAAATCATATCCTTATAGCAAGAGCAAGGGCATTATTCTTGCTTAACTTATAAAACGTGTACTTATCGCCCCAAAGTGATATTAACTTTTATTCGTTATCATGACGGATTTCGTAGGGCAAACAGTTGATGTTCTCGATTGTTATGAGGGTCGTGATGCTGCTATTACATTTACGCTTTATTTTTGCTGTTTATTAAGTGGATTTTATCCAAGAAAATCTAAATTACATCGATCATTACAACGAATTTTTAAACGACTTGAAGATTGTCGTGTTGTCTTACGTCTTTACGATGATTTGACTATTCTTCAAGATTTATTTACATATGAATTAAGACCTGGAGTAAGAAAAAAATATTTTCATTTTTTATTTGCAAAATCAAAATGAATAATTTATTTCTTTTTTTTTTTTGTTTTTCTATAGGAACGAAACTGGATAGTTCGTATATTGAAATGTCTCCATTATCTTTCATGGCTTTGTTATTATCCATCGGAACATATTGCTTGGCTTGGAGAAATGAAAATGCTTGATGTTGATGCTGATTTATGGGATTTTTATACGAATTTTTTCTGGTCATCTGCTTTACTTACTTCTGCTCTCTGGTAAGAATTTATTCTTGCGATCTTTATTTCTCATGAATTTTATGACATTTAGGAATGCATACGTTGTTTTACAATATATGGTACAACAAAGTTATAGTGTAGAGAGAAAAGAAGAAGAGTAAGTTAATTAAATAATTTAATTAAACTATATTTTTTTGTTTATAGGAAAAAATCATTTATCCCATGGACAGCAGCACGTAATGCTATGTTAGCAACTGTACGTGATGGTACTGAATTTGTGGTTGCTGTTAGTTATTTACCTCGTGGTTATTTATGGGCATCACGATTGACCTATATTCAAGTGGGCATGTTTGGTACATGTTCAGCTTTCTTACGTCTTTTTGCACTCTTCAAATTTCATCATGAATCATAAGTTTTTCCCTAAATATTTTCTTCTCTACCATTAGAGCAGATATTTATTATTCGCAATTTAATTACGATTTAACCTCTTTTTTTTTTTATTAACCTTAAATAGACATTTGATTGTTTGATCATTTTTTTTTTCTTCAATGTAAAATCTTAATTTTTTTTGAAGAATAATTTAAATTGTTCGTATTCAAACATCAAGGAAATTAAGGAAAGTTTGATTTTTCTTTAGTGCCTATGTTTATCTGGTATGTTTGTGTCTGTCAACTTTTATGGAGAAATAAGGAAGACAAGAAAAGATTTAATGGTACTAAATGTCGGGGGCAAATACCATAGTAAAAACTATAAAAGCTAATTCCTAGCAAGAATAATAATATTTCTTAGTTGTTTTCGTTGAAAAGAACGAGATAAATATAAGATAAATCAATGTAATGAGAATCTTTATGCTTCTCAAAAGATAATGCGAAATAAATAGTTAATCGTTCTGTTGAAAAAAAAAGAAGATTATTACAATATATTTTTCTGTTTATAACATGCCAGATGAATAGAAAAAAAAATCAGACGCTGCTCATTGAATTCTGTAAGATATTTTTGAAATTTTTAATTCGCTCTTTTGTCGCTATAATTCTTGTATTTACGATGAATTTTCAAAGGTACGTAGTTTCTAACTGTCGATCCTCTACCGCAATACGTTGATGTCAACCCCTCTGGATGCTTTTTTTTATAGCCAAAGTAATTCATGCTTCAAGTCACGAGTAATATAAGAAACGAGATGTAATATACGATAAGATGAAAAAATATAAGAGTTAATAATTGATTCTTTCTTGATTTGAATGAATAATAACTAAACATTTCCTTTTCATCAACCACACCAAATTAATTATAGTTGTCATATCAATTTTTTACCATTCTTCGTGCAAAAATCTTTCCAATTTATCAATATTTGACAGCTTTCGTCTCTTAACATATCTTTCCAGGATGGTCCACATGTTCTCAATGAAATCAATATCCAGGATATTGAGCTACAATTAATTAATTATGTTCATGTCAGACGAATATTTAATTAGCACATAAAGCTAATTTTAGAATTTATAGTTTTATCAGATGTTCTTTTCATGAATAACTGTCAAGAGAAAGAGAAAACTTATGGAAGTAAAGAGTGAAAACCGCTTTAGTAGTGAAGCCGGTCTCTGACACGATTACTTTAGGGTTAGAGAAGTGAAAACTGATCGTCATCCATAAAAGCTGATTGTTCGCAAATAGTAACAGTCAGTAATCTGTATCATACAAACGTTTTGAAAGTTCCATTCAGTCAATACATAAAAACAAAGAATCTATTCGATTCAATTGCATTCCTCATCCAAATACAAGATCGAATACACCAGCAATGGACCATTGATACTTGGAAGTATTCTCTCGAGATAGAATTGCCCATTTTTCGTTTTTGATTTTCCACCTGAGTTTACAGGAGACAAGCCTTAAAATTATCTCTGAGATTTAGTTACAAATATCTCTAAAAAATATTCAACTCAATCGAATAAGTTTGATGGAGAGCGTAAGCAACCAGAATGCAGTTCTATGAAAACTAGAGTTTTCTATCAAAATCTATTTCAAAATTATTCTTCTTGAACACATGTCTCAATATTTTTTAAGTTGCACGAGTGTAACTAGTCTTCAAGAACAATGATTGTATAATTTCATCATGTAGATATCCTTCTTTTAAAAGAACTATACTTTTAATAGTGCCATCCTAAGCTGGGTCCAGTTTCATCACAAAATCACCCGATTTCGAAGTCTGCTAAATAAAAATTTTGTTAATAACGTTAAATAAAAAAAAAAAAACTTTGATCCTAGTTATATATCACAGATTGATATTAAAAAAGCAAAATGAAAAATAGTGCACTGTCAGTTAAAAAATAATAATAAAAGAAACATAAACAAATGATTGACATGATTTTTGCAAGAAAACACAGAAAAAGAAATTGAGATTGCACCATTAGATTGAGAATGTTCGATTGATTAATCTCCAATATTAAGTAGATCTATATCATCGGTTTTTTCGTCTTGATTACTATTGTCATTTACTTGTTCAGTTTTATCATCGAATTGATCAGCATCATGATTTTCTTTTTTACGAAAGGTTGGTAAAGACAAATCAACTTCAATTGGAAATATATCAACTTCTTTCATAATTTCATTACTATCTTTATGATATTTATCAAGAGCAGTTATCAAACGATGTAATTGAAAGACAGTATCTTGAACTAATAGAAAATGAATAAAATGAAAAATATGTATTTAGTAAAAAATAAATACAAACCACGTTTTTGATCAAGTAATTCTAATTTAACAAGTACGTCTGAACGCATTTTAGCAAAACGTTCACGAGCTAATTGTCGACATCGAAGTACTAATCTAAACAAAGAAATATTCATTTTAAATGTCAAAAGAAAAAGAGCTGTAGTCATACAAACCGATATTCATAATTTCCTGATTCAACTCGATAAAGTGGCTCATATTGTGCAGCAAACATATATTCTTCATCATTCATTTCTTTTACTTTTAAACAATAAGACTAAATGAATCATTACATTAATAAGGAGTCTTTCAAAAACTTTGAAAAACATCAAAAGACTTTGTATATCTTACTAAATATTCGAATTTTGCATCGGCATATTTTTCAATAGTTAATCGAGTATCAGGAATGGCTTTTGTTAAAAATGTATTTAAATCTGCAACCATCTAAAATAGTATGAATGATAAAATATCTCGAAATATAATTTCATACATACGGGTGCAGCAGTTTTAAGTAGCGTTATAGCATATTGCTCAAGTTGTCGATGAGCATCACCAAATTTCGTGAATGCTTGTGATGCATTAAATTGTGGTTCACGAGCACCAATATTAGCAAATGCATCACCAAAATTACGATGTATATGAGATAAGTCATATATACCAATCAGCACTTTACGTGCATGTTTGATAAGACCACGATAGAAATCTGCTATTTGTTCAAGTTCATGAAGTTTTTTAACCAGAGTATCTAAATACAAAAATCTACAAACAGAATGTAGGATCGTTTGTTTTTACCATTGCATAGTATAGCCCGACTAAGACCCAAAGCATCAGCAGCTGATGAACTCATGGATTCGATCATACGATGTTTGACTTTTTTTAAAACTAACAAAAACCAAAAGAAAAAAGCTAGACTACAAATTTTAAGCAAACAATATAAGTTAACTGATATCTAATGTTTTTCCATCTTGTGGTCGAGCATGTAGTTTATTATAATGAATTGTTACTTGTGACTAGAAAAAAGAATCACAGTAAATGAATTCGAAAGAAAAATAAAATAAGTATACTGGACAAGCTGAAATAAATTTAGCTGCTTCAGTTTTTGTTTGTCCTTTTACTGATATACCATTAATTGTAACAATTTCATCGCCTATTCAAATCAATCATTAGAGAAATCCAAAAAAAAAACAAATATTATTTATTTCAACCTGCAGCTATTGATCCATCTTTTGATGCTGACGAATCATCAAATACTTGCACAATATATAAACAAGGACAATATGGATAACCACCACCAATACTTATTCCAATCAAATTTTTATCATCTTTCTGTAAGGTACATGTCCCTGATGTTAAAGTCATGCCACTAAAACAGATCACAATTTGTATCAATGAGAGAAAATTTTATCGTGTTGTTGCAAACATACAGAGTATTTTCCTGTATCTCAAAGTATTCCAACATGTTGTCAAAGACTCTATCAAGTGTTTGATATGCTAATATTAAAAAAATGAATCATCAAATATGATAGAAGGTTTTTCATGTATGTATCTTTTATATGATTGTTTGATATGCAATAAAAATTATTCGTATGAGTATGTATTATTCGTTACAGGTGTACTTATTGCAAATGAGTGAACAGATGTCGCATCATTTTCTTTGTATAACATTCTGTTATCCATATCGATATGTATTGTTCAATGTAATATAATTAGTCGATGAGATTCAATAAATTTTTAATATTTAAACTCTTGAAATATGAAAAATATTTCTAGTGAATTCATATTCTGGATTCAACAAAAGGTTATTTTACTGAAACGAAGAACGAATGTATTCTTTTATGTATATAAATTAATCATCAGCGTCAATCTATCTATGGATGCATAGCCTTGTGTTTAATAGAAAACAAAAAGTACCGTTTGTAGGCGCCCGTGTGATGTGTTGAATGAGTGTCTGTTCGTATTATGTAAATCATTCGAATTGAACCAGAAAAGAATCATATTGTTGTTATTCTCAAAAACAGTTTAATAAAACCTTCATTAAGTTGTGCATCTAACCACTTTTTTTTCAGTGTACTATCATGTTAATATTGGTCGAATTATTAGTATAAGATCCAGAACATATGAACTTAATTGTTGGAATATCTTTGTTCGATGAAGAAACTTGTATGCGCATATTCGAGTTTTACATAGAAAAAAAAATCTTCTGTAAAATGTTTTTTGGGTGTAAACAGAAATATTAAAGCGATGAAACGTTGACTCACGATCTTCATTGTAAAAGATAATCAGCATATTGTGAGTATTTTATCATCAGGACAATCGAAGATTAATCAAAAAAAGCGAAATCAATGAAGATGCAATATATTATTTGAAAGTAGAATGGTACATTAAAAAAAGCATATCAACATACAACAAAACACAAACATGATACTCATGCTATGTAATATAGAGTATATGACCGGAGTCATGACATACAAACACTGAATTCTAATATTATACAGTATTAATTGGTTGATCTTATTTACAAAGTCTGTATAAAAAATTCGCTTGCAAGATTCTTATTTTAAATATATATATCTATGATTTATTAGAGGAAAAGATCAATAGTTCCAGTATTTTATAGCTGCATATTATCTGATTGAACGGTACTAATTGATTTGAAATGTGGGTGTCGCGCATATAAGATAAACATATTCAGAGTTTATCGTTCCTTAATTTAAGCTTCACGAATTGAAACTATCAATGAGATCAAAGTTTATTAGACGAAGAATTTAGTGTTGTTCAGTTCGTCTACAAATATGCAACAAGACTCGTATATGATTTTTGATAATTATTTCATAATAATTTTATTTATTTCTTTTGCCTTATAAGTATTTCAATGTGTATTCTATCGACTTTTTTCATCATTAAAGTATGAATTCGACCAATAATGCATTACATAATTTTCTGAAATTTATTTTCATACTTTAAATGTAATGATTTATATTAGATGTTTCGATGTATTTTGTACATTAACACCATAGCATACATTATGCTGAAAATAAAAGTTTACGACACGTTTCTACTAAAAAAGGATAATGTACATGGCGTTTCTTTTTTCAATCGAAGATCAACTATTCATAAATGTGTATGTATTACAATGAATAATTTCGAGGTATATACGATTTTTCATTTCTGAATTATGACTAATAATTTTTAAACATGTGAGAAACGAAGATGTCATTTACACCATTTTTTCAATTCGACGTTCTCTTTTCTTATATTAATATAAGATAAAGTTATGCATTTTTCGAATAATAAACTTTTGTTTTTTATAGAATTATTAAATCAGATGCTGAAATTTGTTCATGACATCTTTGGTTGACAGTGCTGGACCACGAATATGAATATAAACGACGACATACTTTTATGATTTTCTGCATCGAAACGCAATCAACAACGAGAAATAACTGTTGCGTACAAGGAAAATTAATTTGTTTGAGTAATAACATAAAAACGCACTTAAAAAAATTTTCGTTCATCACTCAAAAGAGCATGCATAAAAATTGCTAATGAGTGATTGTTGCAATACTACAAAGCAGATGAACCAATTAGCAAATTTTGATGTGTAGACTTCTATTTAATTAAGGCCCCCCTCCCCCTCAGAGACCAACTTTGTTATTTTTCATCCGATTTCAACCAAAATTTCAGTGAATGTTAGTCTAGACTAGGATAGATTACGGTTAAAACATCTCCCCCAAATCTCAAAGGTATGCACAAGTTCTAGTCAATTCATTGGTTAAAAATACCCTTTACGCAGGCAAGATTTTCAAAATGGGGATCACGTTAGCTAAGCATGTCAGCGTAATTTTTAAATTGTAGAGTGCCCTTAGGACTAGATCCTAATAGAGTTCGATTTTTGAATTTCTCTTCGTTTGTTTTTCAAAAAAAACGTTGTTCGAAAAATTCTCGAATTCATGGTCAAAAAAAGTCGCTAAACAAAACGAAAGATCCAAGTTTTTTATTTCAGTAGAAGAGAAATGCAAAAATCTGACTCTATTAGGATCTAGCCCCACTTGTCCTCTATACAATAAAAAACATTATCCATTCTCTATTGAGTCGTTATTAAGAAAGGTGTGCCCGCGTAAACGGTATACTGGAAAAAACTGATTTTGAGAAAAACGAAAAACAAAGTTTTTTGATGCAGTAAGTGTCTATATTCGAAATAAGTCTGCTTATTTACCTAATATTTTCGCATTATTCCTCAAGCTTTATTGGTGGCGGGTACGTGGATATATCATAATACGGTTAGAAGTACATATCATGCCTAAATTGTGGTCATGGTTCCTTATACATAGGTGTCACTTCATGTCATACATCTGTTTATCAACTTTTTCGTTAATGATATTTTCATTCTTTTGTTTGACCGAAAGAGCTGAAATTTTTATGACATATATAACTAATCAAGATCTTTTAGTTCTGAAAGTTTCAGCTCTATAACTATGACTAATGGTAAAATACATAAGTTTTCGTACTCGATTTTTGCTGAAAAATGAGGCAAGAATCGAGTATGAAAACTTATGTATGCCACTTTGATCGATGTATGTTATCATCAGTCATAGCTATAGAGCTGAAACTTTCAGAGCTAAAAAAATCTTGATTAGTTATATATGTCATAAAAACTTCAGCTCTCTCGGTCAAACGAAAGTATGAAAAATATCATTAACACTGTATTCTCAGTTATTATGAAACATCCTTTATACCTCAGTAGCATATTCTCAGAAAAATAACTCGCCCGAAAAAAAACCAATATACATGTTTTGGCAAAATAAATTATGCTAGGTTGTAGTCCATTACAAGAACTATCAGAATATGTATAAATCTCAAAATCGAGTTTTTTTTTTTTCGAAAAAATTGACTTTTCTGGGAGGCCCTTCAAAGTTAATTCACCCAGAAAGTAACTAATCTCAATTAGGTATACACTGAGCTCAAGCTACTTGGACTCGGTTAAGCTCAGGGTATATCTGTCCCTGATCGCTCTTGGTATTCTCATTTCGAAGAAACCTCTTATGCGTCATAATCAGATCTCTTTCATGACTATTTCGACACACTAATCGGCAGAATATCCAAAACTAAGCATTGGTGTTGGTATTTTTCTCTCTCGCACTTACATCCCATACCCAAACTTTGCTTCGAACGATACAGTAAACACATGTTTAAAATTTCATTCAAACTTTATTAAAGAACATAATTTTCCTCTAGTTTTTCGTCTAAATTAAGTTATATTTCTTTCTTAGTTTGTGATGAAAACTACAAGTAAAATACATAGTACACGCAATAGTGAATTTTTAGCCAAGATGTTATATCTGTCATTATTTTTCAAATTATTTTTTTATTGTTCACTCTTTGCTTCAATCAAACTATTTTCATAACGTATAAGCTGAAGAAACAAAACGGGATTTGGTAATGCTTGTTGTCGTTTGGTCAACAAATATTCATAGGCTTGTAAAAGATTCCATTTTTTGCAATGCATCAAATAGGCGAGAATAATTGTTGAAGAACGAGATACACCACGATGACAATGTACAAAAGCTCGATAGCCTTGTTCATGGCATGTATCAAGAAATGAATTTGTTGTATTAAACGATTCTAAAAGATCAGCGGAACGACCTTCTTTGCTCTGAATATGAAGTATTTGACGTGATGGATCATGAAGTTTCTTATCAGTAACATTAATGATATGTGTAATCGCGAGTCGATTGAGTAGTGCTGAATCATTTGCTTGTTCCCAAGTGCCTTGAAATAGCCAGACATCGAGTATTTCGGATGGTTGCCAATATGATCTTGTATCTTCACGGCGTTCATGTCTTAATTGGTAAACAGAATCGAGATAGGCCACTTCAGAATCTGTTGCTGCGTGAGTCTCACGAAGAAATTTTTCACGTGTCACTCGCGAGAAACTCATTTTGAGAAAATGACGTTTAATAGGAAAAATGAGAAGAAAAAGAAGCTCGTATTTTTTTCCTCTTTCAATGACTCATAATTTCTATTGCTTGTGCAATACGCCTTATGCAACTTTATTCATTTATTATTTTTCAATATTACGAAAAAGCGGAAAAAACAATCAATATGTTCTCTTGTTTTCTTCTTCCTCTATTGAATATGAATTATTGAGCCAAGACGTACACCATGAAGAAAAGATCAAGAGCATAAGTGGAACTGGTTCTGGTTGAAGTAGGCTTGATCAAACTAGACCGACTTGTCGTCAAACATGGTTCATGGTCATAAAGCAAAAAAATGAGTCCAAAAGAAAACAAGCTAACCATGATTTGTCTAGCATACATGCATCTTGTGATTGATTTCCATAATGTACATCTAACAGTTGAAGAACAGTCTAAGACTCCATTGCGCACCAACAGATTGAAACAGTATCGTAGAGAATTGAATAATCAGCCGTAGATACTTTTTTCTGCTATCAATCCGCTAATAAAGACTATATATTCAAGGTACAGCTTTTCTAAAGGAATTTCCGGCGCTGGTTTTCCATTGAAATGAAAAGAATATAATAGAATATTTCCAATTTTCCTACTCTATACGAATTATACTTGCTTCACACCTTCTGCAGGGATCAGGCTGTGGATGTGGGTTGGAGTATTGACGTGAAACAAGATGAAAGGGCGTTCATTCATAATTCACACCCACCCAAATCGATTGAATCCTACCTTATTACTCTGCAAAGAATTAGCAAGTTGTTTCGCTCCTTGATTTTCCATTTGATTTCCAGAAAAGTTCAGTGTGTCAGATACCTAGGTGCATATTAAAATATTGATTTGAGAGAAATAAAGAAGAATTCATGATATCTTCTCACTTTTAAAGGTATCTGCATGATACCTCAGTTAAGAAACGCATTGCTGATTAATGGAATATTGTTTGCTAGAATAATGAAGCTCGGATCGAACTATCTAGACAGTCATATGAACTCTAACTTAAACCACAGCGCTATAAATGCTCGGTAATCATCGTTGATGATCGGTTTCATACTAAATGGAGGCTTTCATATTCATTAGCAGGCTTCCGAATTCATGAGTATAATTTAGAACTGATATGAACTTTGAAAAAAAAATAAGAGCTAATTTTTAAAATGCTTTTTATCCTCAGTTAATAAATCGAAATCTCAGTAATATGATGATCGTAATGAAATACGAAATCCATTCAATTACTCGTTAAGTAAGTGGTTAACACTAATTATTATCAAGGTTGATCCTGTTGTTTTTGTGGAAAAGTGCAACTTCCTGCTGTAACTTCATCATAGGATGGAACTTTTTTAAATAATTTCGACTGAGTTATTTCATTTCATAAAAAAGTCAATGGCTGATTTATCATAGTGCATCTCAGATTATTATACAATGAATCTTCTTATTAGCTTTCTACAATAATGTCTAAGAATGTCCAAGTGGAATAGCAAAGTTATCCAGTGTATATATTATTTACAAATTAAAAAGATGTGATTTTGGTACAAGAGAGTCAATCTCGATACATGATAAAACCGGATTCATGGTTTCATAATGTTTTCGTTACTAGGGCAAAAACGTTCAGTAATCTTTAAGAAATTCTTACTGGATCAATGGTTGGAGCCTGAGATTTCTTTTTGGATGGAACGGCATTCTTCAGTTGTTTTCCAGATTTTGTGGCCATGTCGTAACTGATATCTGAAAAGGCAGTATATTTTTACATATGCATTATATTTTGGTAGGCGAAAATGTCGTGTCTGTGTTGAAACAGGTAGTCAAGAATACGGTAAATTCAACAAAAATAAGAACCTAGAGCATTATTCGACTTGAGACTGTGGGCGTGAATGTGAATTAGGAATGGGCACCCTTTCACCATCCTTTACGTCAATACCTTAATCTACATCCGCACTCACACCCTTACCACGGTCCACTAAGTGAAGCTAAAACAGTCAGAGTAATTTTGATGATGTTTTGCTATTGACTGATGCTTTTGATGTCTTAAACTGTTTGTTTGATTTATTTCAATGGTTTTTCTTACTTTTGCAGCATGACAATGCTTTCTGTTCCGTTTATGTCCGCTTTGCCTCCGTTTTATCGTTTTTTAAAATTATTTTCAAATATACACTATTGAGAAGAGCAACACATAGCAACAGTGAAACATTCACAGGAAGAGTGGATGATGAATGATCACAAAAAAGAAAAAACCATTCGTGTCCAATGAAATTCATGTCAAATGGGGTACACAGATCGATATTCATTTCAGTATGATATGGATTTTGGGTGTGGGCGTTTATGAAATAAAGGTTCACCTACATCCCACATCCACACACACACACACACCGACCCACACCCAACTTTTATTTTGTGGGATTGATCGTAGTTGCTCGTGTCATCTACTATTGTCCAGTAAGACTCAGATATGATTTTCAATAGTTAATTTATCATAGCTTGATTTATTTGTTCGCTTCAGAAATATTTCAACATGCATTCCAACTACTTCTCTCCAAAATCCTAAATAAATCTCTCTAATAATGTGTCCTATCACTAACTGAGATTTGTTTTCATATTTTCTATGTGTTTTTTCACATAAGATCCTTCTATGCTTTTTGTACGTTAAGTGCAAAGGATATTCTATTCTGAAAAGAAAAGTTTACGATGCGTTTCTATTTTACCAGAGTAATATACACTGCCTTCTTTTTTAAATCAAGGATCAAATATTCATAGAAACGTGAATATTGTGATGGATAACTTCAATATTTCATATTGTTTTTCATCCTTGAGTTACAATAAATAATTGTGTAAGATGCTATCAGAACCCAATATGTCATTTAAATGGATTCTTTTTAATTGGTTGCACTCATTCACTATGTTAACAAAAAATAAAGTAATGCATATTTTTGAAATATAAAAAACTTTGATCTCTTTAGGAATTTTGAATAAAAATTGTTAAGGTTTTTCCATGACAATAATGGTGAAGCGCGTTCCACAACAAATAAACATTAACAATGGTGTTATGCAGTTACTGTTTCATTTTCGATTAAAGAACGAAAATCAATCAATCACAATTTCATATAACGCAAGTTTCTTTGCTTCAGTAAAACCATAAATATATAGATAAAGGTAATTCCTTTGCTCAGTTTGGAAAACTCATTAGAAAGATCAAGTTTGTAGGTAGAATTGATGTGTTTGATTGTGACGATATTATTAACTAGATCAATTATTTAGTTAGGTTTAATTTGTATTTTTTAAATAGACAAAGTCAAATTAAACCATGTGAATGAAAATAATATTTGCATTCAGAGGAGTAAAAAATGATTTCATTGTGTAATGGAACTTTGAATAATTGTTGTCACTATAATTATATTCTGTACCGTATGAGATCTATCGTATGGAATAATTATTTCATCGCTTGTCTATAATCTAACAGAAATCATAATTTATAGGTGATCTCATTACTGATCAACAAAAATGAGATAGATTCGTGAATAGATAGAAAAGACTTTTTTTTACATCAATATATTTGTGTGAAGTCGTTGAAATAATGCATAAAGTGTAGTTTATGATAAAATATAATCAAATTTTTGCAACAGACAAATGTGTCAGATCAAGACTAGACATAAGACGATGCTGGTCATTAGAAATGAAGCAGTCTTGTTTGAACCAACTGTTAATAATGGTAGCTCGACACCTTTCGAATCTACTGATAGTGACACATCTTTGGTTCCCTAGTAATGATCAAAATGCTTGTCGTTCCTTCCATTAAAGGATTAGTTTCGTTGTTCAAATCATTTCCAGCTTTTTCAAGCTCATTTTATTTATTGATGACTAAGATTTTTCTTTTTTGTCATATTGTTGAAAACTATGGGATTACGCCACACGTTTTTGCTTTATCAGTTACTTTCAGCATATAATGAAATAATTTCTTGTTTTTCTTTCGTCTATGCTTGGAAAATTCCAACAAAAACAAGTCACTATATTACGCTGTATTTTTTCAGCATATGCATTGATTTGACTTTCGTTAGTTGACGGCATACTGAAGCGAGGTAAAAGCATTACATTTTTACATGTATTGTTAAAACTTTTTGAGGTCACTCAAAATTGATTTCATGCAATCTTTTATTTGGATCTATGACAATATACAACTTTAGACAGCAGTAAAAAAGACAGATTTTATGCAGGTCTTTCTCTGCAGAAACGCATCTAAATTTTGAGACAAGAGTTATTCTACTGTTTATCAACTTTATGCCAGATGATTTTCAGAGCCAAGAGAATCAAATCTGATTTCAGAGAGGTATGAGCGTCCTCTTATATGTACAATCATTTGAAGAAGTCTAATTAAAAACGAGCGATTGCTAAAATATTTGTAAGAGTTAGTTTTTGATAGTTAGATTCTATTCTACGTTTTATATTTCAAACAATAGTCAATCAGATCTTTTGAATGATCAAAATTTTCTTGAAATTTATAAGAAAGAAAAGCGTTTTTTTATTTTTTTTTCTAATCACCTTTAAATTTTATTCGATATTTAAAGCAACACATCGAATGTACTCAGCTTTCCCATCGTTATCTGAAGTGATCTGTCTATTACATACGAATCCATGCATGCTTCATTGCAACATGTCGATAAGAAAAGAGAAGGTTCGCAAAGTTTTGCTAATCTTCGTAATCGAGCTCAATCACTAGTTCAATCAATAAAAGGACCAGGTGTTCATAGTGTAAGCTACATGTCTGCCGCTGGTTTTAAATATATAGGTAATGGAGATACAGCTCGTTGTATGGAATGTGGACTTGAAGTATCCAACTGGATGACAGATATGAAACCCTTTGCTATTCATTTGAATCGTCAACTGAATTGTCCATTCGTTCGCTCTATGGTGCGAGTTTCTTTGTCAAATATGTCTGTCTTGTCCTCTTCATCAACAACTGATGTTCGAAAGAGATCGATATCAAATGAACAAGAATATTCTTCTAAACGTGGAAAAATCGAAACGATGGAATCTGAATCTGTCTCAGATACTTTATTTGAATCAGATTTACTTCAACAAGTGCGAAGACGTACTTTTTCTCATTGGCTACATCTTACCATTCCATCAAGTGAACAAATGATTGAAGCTGGATTTTTCAGTTGCAATGTTGGCGATCGAGTGATATGTATCTATTGTAATCTTATTTGTCAACAATGGACACCATTTACAGATGATCCATGTGAAGTACATAAAACACTTTCACCTCAGTGTCTATATGTCATTGCAATGTTAAAAAGTCAGCAAAAAACATCCGCTGTAACTATCAATCGGCTTTCAAAAAATCACGATTCATTGACTTTGAACAGCACTGATTCATTCCGATGCAATGAGATTACGTACACTGCTGTGTGTCATACAAATTTTATTGACACTTCTAGACGGGATGCATCATTTGCTACATGGCCAAAGGAAGATTTACCATCAGTGGATGAATTAGTGCGAGCAGGATTTTTCTATACTGGTACAAAAACTATTGTTACCTGTTTTTATTGTAATGGATCATTACAAAGTTGGGGTCTAAATGATAATCCAATGATTGAACATGCTCGTTGGTTTCCACATTGTGCATATGCCCAACAATTATGTGGTGAGAATTTATATCGTAAAATTCAAGAATCTAAACGAGTACAACAAGGTATGTTTGAGCAATTATGAATTTTCAAGACAAAAATTTAATATTTCTTTTGTTTCTAGAACATCTTAAAATCAATGAATTAAAAGAAAAAGCAGGTGATAGTGATGCAGTGAATACTAATCTAAAAACAAACAGTCGGCAATTATTGATACCTGATGAAGTTACTTTATCGAGACTTGTTGCTGCTCGATTAGAGTTACCTATATCACAACGTTTATTAGATCAAAATTTTAAATTATCTATTATTAAGCGATGTTGGGAAGATCAATTACGACTAAAGCGTGAGTTAATTAATAAAATAATATCTTTTGTATTCTTGAACAGTTTTCTTAGACAATGACTTTGTATCTAAGTATGATCTATATACTGCTTGTGTAATTCTTCAAAAACAAATTAATCATATTGATGGTAAAAAAGAAAATATTACTGTACCCAGTATAAAAATGAAAGAATTCAAAGAACAAAATGGTACGTTTCTTATAAGTATATTCTGAATTTTTATTGCCTTATTTTCTAGGGACTTGTATACGTGAACAAACATCAATTGCACCTAATGCAGATAAGCTAGTATCGAATCCTGCTGATGTTGAAATAACTACATCATCCCAATCAACAACCGGTGGTAATGAATATAAAAAACAAATAGCTAAACAATCAATTGCTGCTAATAATCAAAATCAATCAATCAGTGCAGCACCACACAATCCCTGTGTTCTATGCCTGACAGAAGAAAAACGATTAGCTTGCATTCCATGTGGTCACCTAGCCACATGTGTCACTTGTGGTCAGTCATTACGATCGTGTCCAATATGTCGACGAGAAATCGAAGCATTCGTTAGACTTTATCTCTAAGGACAAATGGTTTTTATGTTACCAAATTAAAGTTGAGTGATTTTTTTCGATTATCTTTTTAGCTATGATTGATTGTCAAAGAAAGCAGAGGAAAGACCATTATTTTTCCAAAGTATTTATAACCTAGATCAAATTTTATATTTTTTAAAGATTTTTTTTGTTTATTTTTGATCTTTTTATTCTTTTTGAACATTGTGGGTGTGTGGGTATGGTCTTCTCTTCATCAACATCCACACCCTGAAAGCAGTCAATAAATAGCTAAATTTTTGGTTCTTTAATTATTCACCTTTATAAAAGCTGCCAGTAATTAGTGAAAAAGGTTTTCAGTTTGTGTCCACACTCGCGCCAACCGACAACTCTCTATCTTCATGTTTTGAGAGAATTCTCAGTAGACTAGCCAACCAATATCCTCTGATATACTCATAACAAGATATCAGAAAAAGTAACCAGCTGTCAACTGATCCAATACGCTGATATCTTGAACATAATGTATTTACTGCGGGTTGATGAGTGTTTAAGTTTAAATTTTATTTTTTCTCTATATTTTCAAAAAGTGACATATGACTTCGTCTAGCATGACCATCGCCAGTCAAATAGAGACAAAGTCGCATTTTATAACCGTTCGGTGATGAATAGAATACAGGAGAATAAATAGATATCTGTGTTCACATTGAACATCAGCAAATAATTCGAAAAATAAAATATAGAAATGGACAATTCTATGTTATTGTTCGTTTGAATTTCATTCTGAGACTAATTAGTATTGTTTTGTGTCAAATAAGACATGGCAATAAAAAACAAAACTCTTTTTAACAAACCTATTTTTTGTTCAACATTTGTGATTTTCCATATGAATGTGTTTTTTCAACAGCGATTTTCGATTTCAATACCTCCTTGAACAAAGATCAAAGTGAAGTTTGATGATGAAGTAACTCTGAGTTGAGACGTTGAGCATTATCACTGAACGCACTAACACCATCCAACAGCATATCCAGTTGTTTCTAATAGTTGTTGAATATCTCCATTAAAAGTTTCATTCGTTTATCTGTTATCAGTCATTGTTTTAGGAGAAGATATTACTGAAGCATCATTTATCTAATGTTGAGTATTTTTACAAAGATATTGAAGTAACACACTTTGATGTTGTACACTTAGAAAACAATCTAATACATTCATTCAAAGAGAGTAAAGGAAAAAGAGTCTTCGATGATTAATAATCTTCAAAGAAAAATTGGCTTTTCATACCTGTTCATTACAACCATATGGTTCTAGAACACAATTGATACAAACTTTTTCACAGATAGATATGTATTGACTACGAGCATTGGCTGCTTTGAACTCTTCACCTTAATGGTTCACACAGAGGATTTAAATTAACTTTATCTAAATGTTTCTGAGAAATATAGAACAAATAAAACACAACAGTAGTTAATAAAAAAAAACATGAAATAATATGACTTGATAATCGTTAAAAGTTCCGTTCCAAAGACAACGTGAACAACTAATATTTAACCTTTCCATATCAAATTGGTAACTTGGATCAAAAATTATCTTTAAATCAAACAAAACATATTAAATCTAGTTGTAATGGTAGACAAGAAAAAAAGCTTATCTTACTTTCTCCTTTGATAAAATTTGATTTCATATGTCATATTTAACTTTAGAGCTTCAGATATAAAAAAAAAAAGAATTATTTAAACAAAATTAATCACTAGAAATAAGAAAAGAGACAAATAAGCTTACTTTTCGTCAACATAAACGCATGATGGACAAAAACGATGTTTACATGTCAGTTGAATAGGATTTCGTAATAAATATGTACATATATAAAGCAAATATATGTTATTAGAGAATCTTTATTTTGGCATCGAAATCTACTAGTCTGTTAAGATACTGTAAACAACAAAATTGAAATTTTAAGAACAATAAGTTTTAATTCATTAATAATTATATATCCATTACCTGTAATAGTGATAGACACCCTGCATTTGAGTTTTGATCATGTTCATCACACATTATAATTCTAAAATAGAAACAAAATAAATTCCTTTTGGGTGTGCTTGAGTGTTTGTGGATGGAAAGGAACAAGGCTCAGACCAAAACTCATACCCACACTCTCCATCCACACACTCACCATCCAAGTTTAACATTTCGAGTGTAAAGAAATAAAAAAAAAACAGAAGCACGTTTTTTTTCGAGATATAAATTTTAAGTGTTTTGACCATGAAATTATAACATCGAGAAAAGAAAAGCAAATAGTCAATACATGGCTTTAGTAGTTGATAATGCTGTCAGTAAAGTGTGTTAAGAGACTCTAAAAGTAAGTAGGAAAAAGAACGCAACCGTTTTTTTACAGTCTCTGATAGAATAAAAGAAATATCTGGTGAAAATGTAATTAAGATTTGAACTTTGAATTTGATAAAGATCGTTGATAAGGATAAAATTTCACTGTAGTTAATGTAGAAATATGCTTTTGTAATGCGTCATGAAGCTATTTTTATCGGCAGTATTGCATAACTAATAGAAAAAAGCATCATACGAAATATTTTTCTAACTAAAATTCATGCTTTTGGTAACTATTTGCGTTTTTTATTTGAATATTTTGATAAGTGAAAGTTATTAGAAATACAATTATTAATTTTAGATTCCTTTTTGTTTCTAAAATTTAAAATAAACAAGTCAACTGTTGAAATTTACGAATAAACAAATTGATTTGTCTTTCTAAATATTTTGAACGATGAATGCTGATAAAACACATCCTTACATTTCTTTTTCAGTATAACCAGTTTATTGCTAATTGATGCATATCTCTTTAATACAGTAATATATTTTTATAAGTCTCAGTGTTCTTTTCTTATTTGATTAAAATATTATTATTGTATAATAGTCATCTTCTGCTTAAAATTACTTTTTAAAAGAAAAAACAAATACTGACATATTTTGCTTCTCTAGATTCAGCTTGCTAGGAGACTTATACATTTAGAAAGTTAGGCTGATTGAAAAACAAAATTTTACGATGACTAATAAACTACGACTCAAATATATCGATATCATTGATCGAAACTTTTAAAAGTAACAATGACATCTAGTTGGAAAAAATATAATAAAAATTTGATATAATTAGATAAGAAATGTTTTCATCACGAAAGACAATTACTAACAACTTGATGGAAGGTAAGGAGTAAGTTACCTTGCTCAATAATAATGTACATTTAGTTTACAATAAAATATATTTTTATCTGCATAATCACATCAAATGAAGTTGTAAGAGCTTCATATTTTCGGCCCTAATTGATGACGCATTGATTTTCTTCAATTCACGAACTGAGTGATATTGAAAAATGATTCTATGGGCTGATACACATATAAGTAGGTATAATGAAGAGAAACTACTATTTTGACAGCTAGAAAACTGAGAATCGAAAGACAGTCGATTCGTTCATAGTTTAGAAATTCCAATTTCTGAATTATTGAACATTTGTGTTTTTTCTTAAGTACATCTCAATCAATTGTTGAGCAATAATGATATTTTATTTCATATTCATGATTATGTGAGTTATATATGGGCAAACAATTTTTATAAAGCAAATCTCAAAATTTTGGTTTACCACATCTCATATTATTCTTGAACAACATCAATAAGAAGAGTTAAACGAAATTAAAATCAATCAATTTTTATATCAGCTTCATAACTTGAAGTGCTATTTTTTTCGTAGTATTTTCTTTTGGAACATTTATAAAAACCATGAATTTTTCTTGGTTTTGAAATTCCATGGATTAACAACACAATACAGATTACTTAGCTATTGAATCATTTCATTACTTGAAAAGTCTAAATCGTATCGTAATTGAACACTTTCCAAAAGAAGCAGACGAGAAATAAATCTTGCCTGTATATCTTATATGAAATTAAAGCCTCATCAAAGGACTATCAAATTCATAGTTTCAGTAATAATTTATCTTGTCTGTTTCTTCTCAAATTGGATTTATCGTATGATAGGATAGCTAATACCAAAATGTGAGTTTCAACATGCTCTCTTTGTTGATATATGATTTAATGGAATTAGTCAGAAAAGTACTATTCAGCCAATTTGACCTTTTATGGGCTCATGATATCATTTATGCTAACCGAATCATGTGACAAAAAAAAACACTCTTCTGAAGTCGTTTGATACATATCACACTGTTGAATATAGTTTTCGTAATACTTTTTAAAAATCAAATATATTTTTTAAGCTTGGATAAATTCATAAGCTACATAAATATCTAAAAAAAACTACAAAGTATTTTCTTGACACAAATGAACCGAGAATTTCTGGAAAAAATGTTTCTGTCATTTTCGACTGATAAAGAGATGCAGTAAGCATATTAGAACAATGCGTTAAAACCAGAATCTTGTTCACTTCCCCAATCTATGTTCAATATGTTTGTGAAACTTCACACTGCATCTCCTTATTTGTCGAAGAATGAAGAAACACATGAGCCAGAAATTCAATCTTCATAAAAATCGGTTCAATATGTTAAACTACTGTTTTTTTTACTGAACAGTCTCGTTGTAGCTGAGTTTTATTTCTTTTGTTTCAGTTTATTCTGAAGATTTTTGTTTAGATCTTCTTGTCGCTTCTTTTCGATCATTGCTTGTTGAATATATATTGGTAAGCCAGGATTGAGACTTAAAGCATAGGATAATAATGTTTTGTGAATTTCTTCAAAATCAACCAAAATTTTAATAAATATTGTATCGTCTCTTACATAAGAATTTCCTTCCTGTTGAATAGCTTTCAATGGGAAAAATTTTGGTATACCACTAGCTATATTCATATCTGATCGAGGTCGTTGAAAACTACTCGATTTAATGTCTGGTCGAAATGAATCGATAATATGTCGCTCTGCAGGTGTTTGATCATATAAACAAAATGTGACTTTATAATTGAATGGAAACTTGAGCATTGGATCATTCAAACCTCGCATGAGCACAAAAAAGAGTGACATATGTGTACGACGAGCATTTCCATCACCATTTAAATAAAGACGAGCTCTCATTTTATAACCATTTGGAGAAGAATAAAATGGAGGAGAATAAATGGATGTTTGTCTTTCAGATTGTGCATCAACTAAAAATTAAACAAAAAATAAATACATGAAGAAGAACAGAAGCAAGTATAAAGAAATTTAGTTGATCGATAGCATTCATGATTCATTTCGTCAATTCATTAATAGCTTACTCATAGATTGTATTCGGGAATAATTATATCTGTATCTTATGTTAAATGTAACGTTGAATCATATATGTATTATTTATCAATAATATAGAAATCGAATAACATTTTACTATTTGATTATCTTTTTGATAAGACTTTCTATTTTTATCATTGAAGATAAGTCAAATTGTCCGACTTACTCATTTTCTCTTGAAAATTTGTAATTTTCCAAACAAGTGTTCCATCATATGATACATGTTGCAAATCATTGGTTTTTTCTTGCAATGATGCTAAATCTTGATTGAGTATGTCTTGATTATGATTTACTCCTTCCAAAAAAGCATTAGATTCATCAACGGATAATTTAACATTCGGTTCTTCTGTCAATGTAGGAGATATGATTGGTATTTGAAGTGATTGATTACTTTGACATTGTTCATTATTGGTCAATGTTTCGATGCCATCTCCCAAGATATTGAACATTTCATAAAGCTCTTCTAATTGACCTATAGACGAATTACAAGTTCCTGTAGTTGTTGTTCGAGGAAGATCAGTATCCATTTGTTTATCATTTAATTGCAATAATATTTGACGAACAACATTGAGTATGGTATGTTGATGTTGTTCATTCAAATAATGATTTTTCATTTCAGCACGGATAATCTAAAGAACATAAATTTTCTTTTATCAATTTCATATATAGAATATTCATACTTGTTCATTACAACCAAAGCGTTTTAATGGACAGTTAACAGGCAGCTGTTGACATTCGAAGACTTTATGTTCATTAAATCTGTTAAATGAATTGAATTGTTCTCCACAATCTTCACATTTGAGATTTAAATGATATTGATCAAGATGTTCCTTTGAAAGAAAAAGGAAAGAAAATTTAGGAATAAAATAAATATTAAATAAATTACTTGATAATTATTTAAGATACCAGTCCACTGACAAAAAGAACAATCAATGGGTAGTGTTTTCATGTCATTTTTGAAGCCTCGATCAAGTCGTATCTGTACAAAACAAAAATATTTTCCTGTTCAATTATTAAAAGATATCTTACACTAGTTGATAATGTTTCTGCTTGACATTGCGGACATTTACTTGTTTTTCTTGAGAGAGAACAAAGAAATATAATACTTCAAATTGATTATAAAACTTACTCTTGTGCAACATTTAAACATGTTTGACAATATCGATGACCACATTCAGTCAATTGTACTGGATCTCGTAATATCAAAAAACACACAGGACAAATAAATTTCGTATCAAGAATATGTAAATTTTTTGCATCGAAGCCTACCATTGTTTGAATTGTTTTGTTGAACAATCTATAAATAGATGAAAAAGCTTCATAAATGTCAATAGCAACTCAAAGATATATTACTTTTCAAATAAAACGAATTAATAAAATAATTTTTTTTGAAATAAAGGTATGTAATAAATAATTAATCTAGAATTCACACATTAGTAATAAAATACGGTAATGATTTCAATTTTTTAAAATAGAATACAGTAAGGAGTCCGAAATAAATCCATGTACAACTATTAAATCAAACCTTTAATTCATTGTCAATACATTGATGAAAACTTTGATTGTAAATGAACCATCATTTATATAAATCAATTGAATGGCAGTAGGTACATCAAAAGTCATGTTCTAAATTTAGTTGAATTCTACATTGCGTCGTTACTAAACATTGTGCTATCAATCTGAAAGAAAAAACGTTATTCACCTTGAGTAAGAGCACAATTCTAGAATCATATCGAACACATTATTGCGTACGTTACATATTTTAGCAAAAAAATCATGATTACGAATGAGTAATAATTCAAATACTATTCTATAATAATTTCAAATGCTTATTCTAGTATTTATTTCGAAAATAATGAATACATTTAAGTATAGATATATGTTTATACAATTTATAGCATAGTATGATGGAATGAGAAATCTCTCAAATACGACAAAAATTTGTAATATTTTTCACAAGAAATAAAGATTTTATTTTGACAATATTTACGTATTTGATATAACGATTCAAAATCAAATCTTAACATTATTAGTAAAACTTATTCAATGATATTAAAATTACTTATCTGATTAATATGAAAAGAAACAATGGTTGAGAGAAAAATAAAACTCAATTCATAATATGCAAAGTTAATTTCACGATCAAAGGACATTATTTATATATATATATACATATGCATGTAATGCATGGAAAATTTTGTACTTGATGAATTTTACTAGTCAAAATGACGTCAAATTTGACTCATTATTATAAGATATTTTTCTCATTTTTGAATGACGAAGCAATATTTTGGACAATAATTTGAAAGAATTGAAAGAAACAAGAAGAAAAAGAAAGCATGATATTACAGATATTTACTTACCATTAAATGGGTCATAAAAGGTTTATTGGATTTTTCCATGAGAATTTCGTGACCCATTCTATTTAGTAATATTATAAATTATTTATTTAAATCTATTAGAACTAATTGACATATTTTCGGAAATTTTATAGGATATGTATTTTTGATACATTCATATAAAATGCAAGTGAGTTAGCTTGTGTAAATTCTATATTTGACTAGAAAGAAAGCTCAAACAGGATTAAGACAATTGATAAACATCGGTAACGAACAACAAATTGCTTGCATTAATAAATTTTTTTGTAATATATAGTTCATTTACATGGTGCAAAATTATTTATCAATAGATTTTTATAAGTTATTTATATATGATTTGATTTTTGAATCAAATAAATGAATAATAATGACTTGGTATTATTCAGCTGTTAAAACTTTAGCAATCATCGTGAGTCATTAGTGTTAGTTGGAAATTTCCAATTGAAAGTAGAGTATTTCGTTTCTATTTAAAAACAATCAAGAACAAGTAAATAAAAAGATCTTTGAACTATGCATGATTATAATAATGATTAATTTGACATAAGCCATATAATGATAATTCAAGCGTAAAAAGAAAACATATGATAGGAAGAATATATGATTTTCATATCAATAAAACAAAAACAAAACAAGGTTTTTCGAGTACTATTACATCATACATCTTTTCACTTATTTTTCCAACAGCATAAAGAAAAAAACCTATTGGAATCTCCTCGTGATTTTTCTTTCAATTTTTATTCCTGAAATCTGATTGATGAAAATTTGAGAGAAGAATACGGAGAATTCTTTTATCATAAGTGTTTACCATTTTTTACTTTTGACGAACTTTAAATTCAAAATAATTAAATAGAAAACTTCTTACAATTTCATTTTTATTTTTTTCTAATTAATACAACAATCAACAAATTTCTTTTCCTAATGAAATAAAGATGAGTATTGATTAATATCAATCTAATAGATTACTGTTTTACTATAGAATTATGATTTATCAAATGAAACGAGATTTTAGTTTTATTTTTGTGTAACTAAAAATTAGTATGAAAATTCCAACCCTCGTTGCATCATAAATGATTCATATACAGACAATGTGATGCATCTATCTTACATCATCAAATAAAAACCTTGCGGAGGTTTTTTGTATTATACGTGGAATGTAACAGTAACAAAATGCAAAATACGTTAATATAAATGTTACTATTTCTTAATAGAATGTTTATAAATAAAATATATTTCAATACTTTCACATATAATTCGGTAAAAATAATGTTAAATTCATCGATCTATTGAAGATCAGCAGAAAAATTTATTTGAACAATCAATAACGTAATATTTCGAAGTATATGCGAAACAAGAAGAATAAACAATTTGATTTCATGTTTGTTTTTCTATTTTTATTGAATATAATGAAGAAACAAAATGCTGTAACAACATAATTAGTTTGAGAATAAATAGAAACTTTTCGTCAAAAATTGTAAATAATGCCTTATAAAAACAATAAACCGAGTAGATCTAATTATAGATTCATGAATAATCAAAAACTGAGCAAAGTTTTTGCTTTTATATCATGGTTAGTTAGAGCTCGTCGAATTATCTCTAAAATTCTGTCTTTAATATATTCAAACGATATTTTTTTAGTGAAACTTAGGAAAATTGGAGTAAAATTCAAATATATCAAAAACGTAAAGTCTCGATGATCTCAATATTCATCCGACATCATTATTTAACTTAACCCATTAGATAATTAGGAAAAAATGATGCATGATTTTTGATAAATATTGTTTCTTTGCTGACGAAATCGAGTTTTCCCATATGATAACAAAATACCATAAATAGGGATTCGTAGTTCGGTTTCGAAGGAAACGACTATTATATTCAGAATCAGCGCAAAAATCTGCATCGAGTAGTATACTCAAAGTATTCCAAAATAACAATGAAGCATGGTGGTCAACAACCTGCACATTAGACGAAAAAGCAAAAGTGATTTTTCGAGCTTTGAATAGTTACTTATACGCTTTGATTAAAATTCAGCACGTGTAGAGAAAACATCACTCTTCTCGTTACAGATAAAAAAGAGTTGAGCAATAAACTATATATATAATATGAAGCTAGAACTTCTACTCTATCGATTTAAAAATTTTCGTTCTGAAAAAATAATTATACGTTTTTCGAAAAAACCCTCTTCAGTAAAGTTGACCACTTCTTTTATTCAATAATCCAATATCGATGAAACCTTCAGAGAATATTCCTCTATAACTGGGACAATGTATATAGTTAGCCCTAATACTTCTGGGCTGAGATACAGGTTTTTCACAGTTTCTTCATCAAAGAAGCACTTTGAGACAAAAATAGAGATATTTAACGTCAGCGTGCAAAGTTGCTTCAAGTGATGTGTCATTTGTCAATTTTCAAAATAAAGTTTTTTTTTCATAGAAGTTTAGGATAAGAGGAGTCCCTGGGAGATATTTTCCATCAGAAATGATCTTTTGTTTCCGTCAATCTTATTTTTGGGTACGAGCGGCTAATATTTCGATGAAAAAAATCGTTTTCAATAGAAAATAAGTCATGTCCACGTACTTGATAGAAATTGTCCATTGCGTGTAGACACAAATGTCGATTCCTGTTTCTCTTCGATAAAAAGATGCTGCACGAAAACTTTAAAACTGCGTATCGAAAAAGAGAAGCATCCTAAAAAAGAATTCACACTTTTCCATAGAAGGACTGCATAAAATGTCGATCCTTATATCACTTCGATAAACAGGTTCTCGAAAGAATATTTTTTTTTTATTAGTTAATAGGAAATTTTCCCCTCTTTCGGATGCTATATGATTCATATTTGTCACTCATTGACAAATGAACCGAGACGAGAAAAAGAAGAAGCATTCACGCAATAAATTTGTAATCTTTTTATGAACTCGTCAAAAATATCATGTAGATAATAGTTAATTATCATCAACTGTCATTTTACAAGATGTTTTTGACCATTTTCATGTAAAAATTACGAATTTATTGTGCCAATGTTTCTCTTTTTTTCTTCTTTTATTTATTGTAGCAAATCACGATCGTACATCAACAAAACCTGTCGCAGTCTGTGATGGATCTTGGAATACTGTCCTGCGACCGGATCGGATGTCTTGTATCCGACTCGACAATATATAAGATCTTGAAGTTTCGAAAAATTTTTACTTCTTCAAATTTCCAATATACATGAAAGTATTGAAGTGAAAACTGGTTCGATCATAATTGAGCAAGTTCTTGTATTTGAGACAGAACATAGAAGTGGCAAGCGATATAGTTTTACTAAGGGAATTCATTTTTATGAAAACTCATCTATAAATGATAAGGAATCATACAAAGAAGTAATTGAATACGTGGAAAGGAAAATAAATTATCAAAAATATGAATATGTATCATTGTAATGGAGAAAGCAATCATACATATATTCACAATGATGACGTTTGACACCAACACTGAGTTCCTAATCCTGAATCACTTGTTCTTTTTTTTGTTACTGTTCATGACAGAAACTAAAAAGTATACTTTATCATACAAAATCAAGATTTGAAAACTGCTATGACTGTGAAAATATTTTTCGGATGTCAACTAGCTCCGATCTGAGTTTGTATGCGAAAACTCGTACTCGTGGATAATACTAGTACTAGCGTCATTGAATAATATATACTTTTTAAATATCGTTATATAGAAAAAAAAAAGTAAGTTTGTATGTATCTGTTATGACTTGCATTCTTCTTCAAATGTAGTCATAGATATTTTTCATTTTCATCTATAGGAGCATACACATGTACTTATGTTCCTCTTCTTTTTTCTAGTTGTTAATCATGCGCGATGAATTTTCCTTTCTGTCAAATATATTGGAAGTTTCTCTTTTCGTCTGTCCTTCTTTCGATGATGTGGTTCTATGGGTTTTTTCCTATGTTATCGTCCTGTACATTTTCATTAGTTTGTTACAAATAGGATTGGAGGTAGATATAGTTATAGAAATAAAGCACAATTGGCATGAAAATTTCACAGCATCCATATCCATAAGATAACTCACTTGAATAAATTTTGGACTAAATAGTGTCAAAGCTTAGGAATATGTTTTGTAGTAAAATTTGATCATATTATAAATGCATGACAGTAGATGTTAGTAGTATAGTCGCTATTACCTTTAGTAAGCGGTATTCTAATGAGCAATGTTAAAGCACATCTATTTGATTAAAATAACCGTATAACAGGATTTCAACGAGTAACTACATCTATTTTTCCAGTTTTTGTGCATAAGTATCGTGAAAATAGAACTATCTTAGCGTTGACATATACTTAACCACTGATTTTATCTATTCAACGCATTAAACCCAGTGGACATCGAGAAAAGCACATTTCAACGCATCATCTCTGTCTATACGAGAAGTAAATAAATTATGCAGCGTTTATATCTTCGATTGTCATATTTAAGATGTCCAAACATTGCGTTTGCAGTTTCTCTATCTATGTAGGCACTTTTTACATGTATTGCAGAACACGATACATTTTTGCTTTTATTGGTAACCTCCAACATATAACGAAACAACTTCCTTTCTATTTCCATCCCATACACTTGGAAAATCTCAACAAGTCCAACCAGCTGAATAACATTGTTTTTTTTTTCAGCGTTTTTGATGTTGTCTCTTCGATAGTTAAGGCCATCGTGGGACAAGGGAAATACATCAGGTGTTTACATAAATAGTGCAGATTTTTGAGATTGTGTAAAAACAATGTCCAGCAATTTTTTCATGTCTATGACAACATGAAACTTCGTACATTAATGAGAGTATAGGTTTTATTCAACTTTTTCTCTGTAGGAGTGAGCTTGAATTTTGAGAGAAGAATTATTTCACTGTTTAAGGAGTTTATATTCTAGAGTTTTCAATATCAATAGAGTCAACTTTGATATCGGACACGTATGAGCATTCTACCGTATGTGCAATCATCGAAAGACGTTTAATTAAAAATGAATTATTCTTTAAACCTTTGTAAACATAAGTTTTTAATAATTAGATTTTATATGACGTTTTGTGCTTGAAGGGATAGTTAATGAGATTACTTGCATAAACAAAAACCTTCTCGGCATTTTCAAGAAAAAAAAGCTTTCATATATTTTTTATATATCCTGTAGATTTTATTCGATTGTTAAAGCAACTCATCAACTTTAGTCAGCTTTTATATTGCTATCCAAAGTGATATGTCTATTAAATACGAATCAATGGATGTTTCATCGAAACGATTCGATAAAAAGCAAGAAGACTCGCAAACTCTTGCTAAAATTCGTAATGTAATTCAATCACTAATTCAATCAATAAACAAACCAGGTGTTCACAGTGTAAGCTATATGTCTGCCGCCGGTTTTAAATATATAGGTAATGGAGATACAGCTCGTTGTACGAAATGTGAACTTGAAGTATCCAATTGGACATTAGACATGGAACCATTTACTATTCATTCGGCACGCCAACCTAAATGTTCATTTGTCTGTTCTGTGATACCAGCTTCATTATCAAATAATACTGCTTTTTCCTCTTCGCGAACAGTTGCTATTCAAAAGATATCAATATCAAATGAACAAGAAAATCCTTCTAAACGTCAAAAAATCGAAACAACAGATTCCAAATCTGTGTCAAACACTTTATTTGAAGTAGATTCACTTCAACAAGTGCGAAGACGTACATTTTCTCATTGGTTACATCATGCTAGTCCATCAAGTGCACAAATGATTGAAGCTGGATTTTTTAGTTGTAATGTTGATGATCGAGTGATATGTATCTATTGTAATCTTATTTGTCAACAATGGACACCATATACAGATGATCCATGTGAAGTACATAAAACACTTTCACCTAATTGTATATATGTCAAAGCAAAATTGATGTGTCCTGTAGCTTCATCTATAATTATCGTCAATAGAGTTTCAACTGAAACAACTTCAGACAATTGTTCATCAACGCCAATTAATCTCGGTCTATTGCGATCTAATGACATTGTATTTAGAGTTTCATGTAATCCAGCTTATTCAGAAATACCAAAACGTCATGCATCATTCGCTACATGGCCAAATGAAGATTTACCATCAGTTGATGATTTCGTTCGTGCAGGATTTTTTTATACAGGTACAAAAAATATTGTTAAATGTTTTTACTGTGATGGGTCACTACAAAATTGGGGTCCAAATGACAATCCAATGATTGAACATGCACGTTGGTTTCCACATTGTGCATATGCTAAACAATTGTGCGGTGATGATTTATATCGTAGAATTCAAGAATTCAAAAGAGCACAACGAAGTATGTTATAACAATTTTAAGGTATAATCTAACTTCTTTTTCTAGAACGTACTCGAATCAATGAATTAAAAGAAAGAACAGGTTCTGGTGATATGTTAAATACTAACTTAACAGCAAATAATCGACTCTTATCAATACCTGATAAACATACATTATTAAGACTTGTTGCTGCTCGATTGGATTTACCGATTTCACAACGTTTATTAGATCAAAATTTTAGATTATCTGTTATTAAACGATGTTGGGAAGATCAATTAAGACTAAAACGTAAATTAACTAACAAAATACTGTCTTCTGTATTTTTTTTTTAACTTTCTTCTTAGATGCTGATTTTGTATATGAGTATGATTTGTATATTGCTTGTTTAATTCTTCAAAAACAAATTCAACATCTTGATGGTAAAAAAGAAAATATTGTTATACCGAGTATAAAAATGAAACAAATCAGAGAACAAAATGGTGAGTTTTCTATGAGCATCTTTTCAATTTGTATTCTATTATCTTCTAGAGACTTGTATGCATGATCAAACATCAACTATATATAATACAGTTCAATCAGTACCAAATCCTGCGAATGTTGAAATGACTGCATCATCCTCACCATTACGAAATGAAGTTACATCATCTGAATCTTCTATATTTTCCTTATCAAAACCAACAAACACTAATAATGAAGGTGAAACACAAGCAAGTAAGCAAACAACTACTGTGAATGATCTAAATCCGTCAATCAATACAGCACCATCCAATCCTTGTGTTGTGTGTCAGATAGAGGAAAAACGATTAGTTTGCATACCATGCGGTCATCTAGCCACATGTGTTGCATGTGGTCATTCATTACGATTGTGTCCATTATGTCGACAAGAAATCCAAGCATTCGTTAGAGTTTATATTTAACCACAAATGATTTTTATTTTATTAAACTAAAGTTGTAATGACTGTTATCGATTGACTTTTCAACTATACTTGATCATTAAATAATGCACAGACGAAAAACAGTTCCGTTTGAATATATTCTAAATCTAGATAAATATTTATAATTTTTTAGAAATATTTTCTGTTCAATATTCGACTTGTTACTAGTCTTGAAAGTTGTCTCAACTACTTATTTATTTAATAAATGTTAGAAAAGTTGACTCTACTCTATAGACATGAATGCCAAACCAGTAAACTATTCTGGATACTTTTTGTCTGTACAACATGGCAAAGTGGACGAAAATAAAATTAATCTTTATTTATTTTGAACCATTGAAAAGCATTATAAATGCAAAGCATAATTTCATTATCACCTCGAAATATTATAGGCATCATTCAGTTTTTCTGAGAGTATGGCGACTGGAACAAAAACCAAATCAAGTGTTTGTGTATGAAATCAGATTTATAATAAAATAGTTCAACTCTAAGATTCATTTTTGTTATGTACATTTTCTAATATCGATCATTGCAAACTCTATACATTTGAATCAGTTTTAATAAAGTGAATTTTAAGAAAACTTAATCAAGAGACTTCGGTTAACATGAACAGAACTGGACCAAGATTCTAGAACATTATCAGAATTTTATATACTTAACTTCAGATGCTGAATGAAATTCTGTTAAGTGTATGTCTTGAAGCACAATTCGGATAGAAAATCAGAATTCTGACTGAATTTTGTTTATTTGAATCTATATATGTTTTAGCCGTATCAAAAACACTGGAAATTCTACACTATCGCCATTGTAGTACAAGTGACTCTCTATCACACACATTATGCCACCATATCTAACGATTGGGCTTTCTGAAATAGTCGAAGACCAAAGAAGATACTTCATTTTTATGTAGTATGATTTTCTGATTTTATTTTTGACCTTGCTGTAATGCACGTAACTATCAAAAGCAATTGGAAAAAATTGTGAAAAAAAACCGTTCTTTGCGATTTTTTTTTATTTTTACTGCTTAAAATACTTTGGGTATGTCTTCGTCAAATCAAAAGCTTTTCAAAAACTTTTGTATCAATATTCCTAGAATTTAAAGCTATAGAAACCATGAAAATTCTCTCAAAATCGAAGATCTACTTTATACGTGTGATTGAGATCATATGGAAATACTCTCCTGTTTTTAGAACTCCGTATGAGGATCATGTTTTTTTTTCTTATTTTTTCACATTTGACTATTCAGTTTGGTTAAAAAGCTACAATGAAGTCTTTTTTAGAGTTATTCTTCCTACTCATTTAACGAAGATGCAAATGTGTATATCATCAAAATATAATTTCATCTTGCCACATCTATGATTGATCCTGGTGTAGAAATTTTTTTGTATAGTTACTTTTCATTCTTCCTGTTTATTGATTTTAGTGAAGCCTGTTTTTTTTAGATTTAGTAACTTTTCTTTATCGTATCTGACTTTGACAGACTATATATAAAATGTTGACAAAAATTCAACACATACATATATATATATTAATTATTTCATCTTTCTTTTTTATTTTCTTCATACTTTTGCCTATAGATAGTTCTTGAAATAATTCGAATCTCCGAAAAATTTCAGCCAAAAAAGAGTTGTTTCTTCTCAAGATATTAAATTCATAAAAACCATGATATGCCACTAAAAGAGCAGCACACAGAGAAGAGCTTTTCTAAGTATCTTCTAGTCTTAACGGGTTCTACATGATGACTGGGTTTCATCTCAAACATAAGGTATCGTCCTGAGTGATTGTCTCGTTAGATTTATGTCCTTTCTCTATTCCAAATCTGTATGTACTTTTCAATACTGTCAAAGCACATAATAAGGATAGACTTCACTGTGTGTACAGAGACGAATAAAAGCCGTAACGCAGATATAAAAGGTAAGTTATGCGATCAATGTTTTTTACTTCTTTAGTAATTGAATTCGACTTTCACGTTTGGCGTATGTCACAGATTCGAACGTATAGATAAGAATATGTCCTAACTATAATAATATGTTAATCGAAATTTCGTCTTATTTTTATTTCTGCCGGAAAAAGTTTGGTATTTTTTTTTAAATATTTCTCGAAGAAATCATGAAGTGGATTGTATGAAGAATGACTGAACGGGGGAGGGTATTCATTGAAGCCAAACATCATCCAGATCTTCATTATTATTCACACCATCAATCGCTTCATATCTTCGCTCTTAAATCCACCTCATTCTTATCAAAGACAGTCTTCTTCTGTCGTAATTTTTCTTTTCTGCATTTGTCATGGGTATATTTCATTTACTTTCAACTTGTCTATGTTCTATGTCATGCTGTGAAATGAGTATAAAGAATTTCAATAACATGTTCGATTCAAATACATTTTTTTGTTATTTGTTTGTTCGCATCCAATTAAGAGTCTTTTCTTTCAACTCGTTAAAATAATTCAAGCTTTGTAGTGAGATATAGTTTTTATTTTTAGCAAATCTCCTTATAAGCACTGTCAAACGACTCTCGCGTCATTCGTCTACACTAGAACTAATTTATCTCAATAGCATAATAGCTACATTTGATGGAATCAAATTTTATCTTCTTTTTAAGTCTTAAGTAAATTAAATTTCGCAAATAAACTCTTTTTTTTATTAAATTCCGTATAGATATAAGTCCTTAATTGATGTTCTTATTTTTTTTATCGTCAAACAAATAATCTACTCTCTGTTCTTGGCTTAGAAGATTTCTTATGTCAGTAATATTCGTTAATTTTTAACTCAGATTTTCAATTAAGAAAAATACAAGCAATGCTATCACTTTTATTTCACATCGAAAAGCGTCAGAGTATTCATCGAAATGATGATCTAGTGTCAAATATTCGAGGGTTCTATTTTATTAACAAAAACAACAAACTATTCACTTATTACTTATGATAAAAATGATTCATATTTTCTATTCTCGTATGTCAGTGCTGATGCAGAAAAATTGCTCTGTCATACACGCCAAGGTGAAACGCGTTCTCTTTCTCGTAAAGTGCATTAAGTGTGTTTTTTACGAAAAATTAAGCTTCATTTTGCACAGTCATCATGACTTAGTCTGTCTTATGCATACAGTCGTTCTTTGTAATTAATATTTATATTATTCATTGAAAACCACTGTAATTATGTT